TTTTTTTTTTTCCTTTTTTTTTAATTGGGTTTTCCAAAATAAGGGAAATTTTCCAAAAGAAAAAAATTTAAGGTAAATTAGTATTTTTGGTAGGAAAAAGGGGAATTTTTTTGGACCTTTTTATTTTTTAATTTTGGGTATTAAAAGTTAAAGAAAAAAAACCTAAAAAAATATGTTACTCCAAATGGTGGGTTTTTCAACCTAGGGTAGTATTTCAAACTAAAGCAAAAATTAGTATTTCAAAATAGTTGCCCCCTTATTTTTGTCCTTCTAAATTAAATCTAAATAGTCCTTTTTATTTTTATTTTTAAATTTTATTTGTTTTATTTTTTAAATTTTACTTCTTGTATTTTTAAAATTTTATGGAAGTTTATTTGTTATTAATGCAAAAAGTTGTATTCAACGTGTATTTAATCCGTTATGTGATCCTCAAAAAAAAAAAAAAAAAAAAAAAAAAAATCCGTTATGTGTCTCCATATTCCAATTAATGATACTTCAATTATTGAGCTGGCAGTGCCTTTGGTAGCTGTATTTAATTTATTAATAATTAAATTTATAAGACAGAAAATAAGATGGGTAAATAATAAATAAATTAAAAAAAAAAAAAAAGGAAATAAATATCACTATATTGAACATATACTCACACGTGCACCCACATAGCCACAATGTTACGCGTATATTCACTTTTTAAAACAACATCGTGGAAGCCACTGTATACCTATTTCAATTTTCAACACAATTTCTCCAGAGGTTCCAAAACGACGACGTATTTTTTTTATTTTTCATAAAAATAATTTATTATAAAAACTAAAATTAGTATTATATAAAAATTATAAACCAAAAAAAAAAACAAAATGTATATATAAGATTAGCTGAACTCGAACTCGAGCTCATCAAATGAAAGTTCGATGGACTCGAGCTTGAAAAGACTGGCGAACTCGGCTCGAACTCCACCATTTACACCCCTACTCCTAGAGGTAAACAAATGGCAAACCTTAACATAATGCAAGTAGAATAAGACGCAATCTAATTATGTTTTATTTATAATTATAAAATACTAAAATTCCATCAAATTTGGCTTAGTGCCAAAAGAATCGAACCCCACCACATCTTTAACAAGTCAACAACTGCAACGTTTTTCGTTGACCAATCACAAATCATCTTACTCCGATTCCATTTCCCATTTCTTTTTTATTTAATTTTTAATTTTAATTTATTGAAAGCAAAGACTAGTAGTATTCAATGAAGTTAAGCCATGGCACCTTTTGTTTGGTATCTGAACTGACAATTACATACATATTTGATATTACATACACCTCCCCCCTTTTGTGTATATATATATATTCAACCAAAACCCAAGTCTGGATTAGAATTTCTTCAGATTCTTTTTTGTTAGAGGATGGGTGTATGTGGGTCGAAGCCAAAAGGATGCGTTGGGATGAAAAACAAGCTGAATTTGCAGAAGAAACGGAGAAGACGAAGAAGAATTAAAGGGGGCCCCCACCATCCTTCTATTAATCGTAACCGGGTCGAACCCTCTGACCCGAAAGATCTTGCTTTCACTAACCCTTCTTTTCAAGGTTCCATTTTTACCCCTTGTTTCTCTGTTATATTACTTGTTTTAGGTTTCCTTTGGTGTTTTGTTTGTGCAGATTTTTGTTTGGCTTTTTGCAATGTTTAATTAAGCTGCTTAATTGATGAATAATGGCTTTTTTCAATTTTTTTATTTATTTTAATGTATTTGAATAAAAAATATTAATTTCTTCTGCAGCTGAGAAATGTTGAGATTTATGTGGTTCTGAATTGTTGTGGTTTGAACAGGAAGTAGTGAAGCGTGGTTCGACCCCGATGCAATGATTGATTCCGACGGTGACGACGATGAATTTTACAGTGTGCAAGATGGTTAGTGCTTCGGCATTTTACACCCTCTTCGCGAAATAAAAAAACGAAAAAAAGAAACGTATACACGAATGAATGATCTCACGTATCTGTTATATGATGCATTGTATGAAATTGTAATACTTGCAGATGTATCTCAAGCTGGATCCCTCTCCAATGTCGTGACTCCGAGATTTTCGAACCAGGTTGCGTATGGTAATAATACCGATTCTCAGGTGAGCTGCGGCGATTCTCAAAACGAGGAGCAAAGTAGGAACGAGTCAGGATCGTTACACAGCTGTGGGTTTATATCAAACACCTTCCTCCCCTGCCTTGCTTGTGATGAGTCTTTAGACGTTAAGAAAAAACCGCCGAGTCTAACCGGTTCGAACACGAAGAAAAAATTATCAATTACCCCTTCTTTCAAATGGAAAGAAGGCCAAGAAAATCCAATCTTATGTAAGCGTTTTTCGCCTTTTCGTGATCATAACTAAAAAAAAAAATCACGGTTTTTTTTTTTTAATAATTATTGTTGATTATTTTTGTTTTCCATGTCAGCATTGGGAAAGCCGATATTACAAAGACCGATAGCTGGTTCGCAGGTTAAGTGTTCTCCGTTAGAGAAGAAAATGGCAGAGTGTTGGTCCCGGATCGAGCCGAATATCTTTAAAGTCCGTGGACGAACTTTTCTTAGGTGATAGTTATTTGGTTATTTAGTTATTTGGTTTACCAAAACATAGTGCTAAATTAAATTTCCGTCTTTTTCGGCAGAGATAAAAAGAAAGAATTCGCTCCAAACTATGCAGCATATGTACCTTTCGGAGTGGATGTTTTCTTGTGTCCTCGAAAAATCAATCACATTGCTCGATTTGTCGAACTCCCTTCTGTTGATTCCCATGGCGAAATCCCTCCTATTCTTGTTGTAAACCTTCAGGTATATAATATATCTATATATATATTTTTTTTTCACCGACAATAATGCTTACAAAAAAAAACGAATTTTCAAACTGCTAAATTGTGCCTGATTTTTTTTTACTCTATCAGATTCCACTTTACCCTGCTGCAATATTCCAGAACGAGTACGATGGACCAGGAATGAGTTTTGTTTTCTATTTCAAACTTTCGGAAAATTACGAAGAAGACCTTCCACTTCATTTTCGAGAAAATATCAGGGTAAGAACTAAGGCATTTATTTACGTAGTAACTTTATACTCTAGGACAACCTTTCTCGATTCTTGACAACGATGTTTCTTGGTTAAAAACAGAGGATGATTGCTAATGAAATGGAGAGAATCAAAGGATTCCCGATAGATACAAATGCATCTTTAAGGGAAAGACTAAAGATTTTGGGGCGCGTGGTGAATCTCGACGATCTTGAATTGAGTGCTACCGAGAGGAAACTTATGTATGCTTACAATGAAAAGCCGGTTCTTTCACGCCCGCAGCATGAGTTTTACTCGGTACAATTTCTATTTTATTTTATTTTAAATGGTTTCATTCTTTTGACATGGTTTAATTCTATTATGTTGTGCTAATTCTTTTTTCGATCATGCGATTTTTGCAGGGAGAAAACTACTTCGAGATCGACTTGGACATCCACCGATTCGGTTACATCCCTAGAAAAGGTTTCGAAACATTTCAAGACAGAATCAAGAATTGTGTCTTTGATTTCGGCCTCACACTTCAGGTACATCTCGGAAATTAAATTATTATTGTTGTCCTATTTTTAGTATTAAGTCCTAATAAAAATCATTCGGAACTCGATTTTATATTGCAATATTTAATGCAGGGAAACAAAGCTGAAGATCTGCCCGAATGTATATTATGCTGTCTACGAGTCAAGGAAATCGACTACACTAATTATTGCCAACTGAGCATCTGAGATTTTTTTCTTTCAAGACGACGATTGTTCGAACGAATGAAGTTCTATAAATTGATCGTGTTTCTCTCGTCTCTAGCTTTAGTGGAAAACAATTTTTTTTTCTCTTTCCGGGACTTGTTTTTTTCATTTCTTCGTGTATTGTCAATGGCTGAGTGTACAAAAGAAACTGTAACAAATTATTAATACAAAGTTACACATTTGTTGTTTTTTTCATGATTCAGAAGAAGCTTACGAAACGACGATAAAATTCAAAGTAACAGATCCTATGATTCATATATACATTCTGCAGAGAATCGATGTTCTCTCTAAAATACAGAAGATTCTGTAATATATTGTAAGAAAAAAATAAACAGGAGAATAACAAACTGCATAAAGATTAAAAACAAAAGACCGAACATACCAAATAAGAATAAAGGCCTGTTTGGTAGGCAAGAAAAGAAATCGAGGGTGCTAAGAGGCACGAGATCCAACGCAACACCCGAAAATGGAAACAAAACCGCACCTGTGATGAACCTTGGATTCTGATCTGGAACCTGAAGGAGGCGGAACTTTGGAATTATCGGACGGTGTTGCATTGAGAACACCGGAATTGGAATAGGAATAGGAATTGGAATTGGAATAGGAATTGGAATTGGAAACAATGGGATGGTAATTGAAATCCCTGGATTTTTCGGAAGGATGAATGTCTTGATTCTGAACTCGGTCTTTGTCCCATATACGTCCCGAAGAGCCTTGCCTACGGAACGAGTACGAAGATCTCTGTAATGTGGTCATCGAAAACCAGGTTTTGATGCTGATTGATCAATTCTTCTTCTTTTTTTTTTTTTTTTTTGTGTGTTCTTGAGTTTTTTCTTTTTTTCGTTTTTTTTTCGGTTTTCTTTATTTTGTGTTTGTTCTTGCAACTAACTTAACGGATTTTGACATAGTTTGGTAGAAAAAAGTGCCATCTTTGATGTTGGAAAAATCAAAACAAATACAAGTGTCATTTTTTTGAAGTACATAATATTTTTAATTATTAATATATTTTTTTTTTCTAAAACAAAATTATTGAGTATTGACATAAAATACATCAATTTTGATAATTATATTTCTATATTTAAAAAAAATAATAATAATAATACCCACAAATCGGGCGTATACGCAAATTAAATATTATTCCAACTGCAAGAAAAATATTCCGAAATTAGTAACAAATCCAACAAAAAATTACACATCAGAAAATGATCAGTAACCGTAATCGTCATCCAAAATGTCGAGAAACTGAAGTCGCATTTCGCTATCATGCGCCAAAATAGCCTCGACAAACGACGAATCTGCAGCAAATGAAGATGAAGATGATGCTCCACTATAATTTCCATGGCACGAGTAATTTCCACTATTTTCGACGCTAGTTTTACGTATATGCCCCTCTTCTTGAACTTGAGCAGCCTCATAATTACTACTACTCAAATAATCTCCCAAAACACATTCATTAGATAACTCGAACGGAGAAGCAGGCACGCTTTGCACCTGAGAGGGCCCACACGTGTGACTTTGTCCTAAGCCAAAACGCATGACTCCATTCGAAGAAGATGAAAAATACGGTTGCCGTTGCATAATATCATAGCCCATTGATGTATTATTGCTTTCCGGTTTGAGAAACGGGTTTTTGTTAGTGTTTGTGTTAATCGGAAAACAGCTGATTTTTCCGTATTCGCTGAAAACCTGAGAGAAGGGCTTGTGAGTTACGGGATCAATTCCCATTTTAGCCAACTTTTTCTTCAGTTTCGTGTTCCAATAGTTCTTCACATCGTTGTCTGTTCTCCCCGGCAGCCGTTTTGCTATTAGAGACCATCTACAAATAAAAAAATTCGATCTTGTGTCAAATAAACATTGCCGAAATAAATGATGGATCTTGAAAATCCAAACCGCAGAAACGAGAGCATATTTTCGTTGAATTTTGCAAGACAATTACAATGTCTTTTTCCTCGTTTTTTCGCATGATTTAGACTTACCTGCTGCCGACAGTTTTGTGCAGTTCGAGAATGCATTCTTCTTCCTCGGGGGTAAAATTGTCATGTTTGAGATCAGGTCGTAGATAATTAGTCCATCTGAGTCTACAACTCTTCCCACATCTGTTAAGGCCTAAAAATAAAAAAATAAAATCATAAAACGAAGCAGAAAACGCAGATTTTTACGTATTGATTATGAAGGAAAAAATAATTAGATAATTACCTGCTTTTTGGGGAACTAAGGTCCAGTTGCCAATTCCATGGCTTGCTACATATGCGAGAATTTTAGCATCTTCCTCGGGTGTCCACGGCCCTCGTTTCACGTTCGATTTATCACAACAAGGGGGCCTTCCCATTGGACGATAATCGGGGTTTTTTTTTGAGGGGGGGACTGATGTAATGATGATGTGGTTTTACAGGGTCAGAGCATAATTTTTTTAAGGGGATACATTTAACAAGTGAGGTAGCGTGATATGCATGCAATTTGGCTCCCGTTTTCGCAACATTTGCATGATTTTTAATCAAACTATCACTGAAAGAAAACTGTTTGTCATGATATATGAAAAATGAACGCATGCAATCTCCCCCTGCACCTCTCTCTCTCTCTCTCTCTCTCTCTCTCTCTCTCTCTCTCTCTCTCTCTCTCTCTCTCTCTCTCTCTCTCTCTCTCTCTCTCTCTCTCTCTCTCTCTCACACACACACACACACACACACACACACACACACATGCAGAGAGTTGCTTAGCCATCAGCATGCAATCACACACACACACACAGTTTCTTAGCCATGGAGATGAAGAATAACACTGAGTTGTCTGTGCAAAGATATATATATATATATATATATATATATATATATATATATATATATATATATATATATATATATATATATATATATATATATAGACGACAACTTACTCATATATATTCTTAGAATAATAATATTTCTCACTGACAAATCTGACCATATCTAAAATATACAAATGTACTGCAAATAATTCAGGAGTAAATTTCCGAGGTCGTTAATTTAACGTTTTAGCTTCTTCGATTTATCATTTGGCGAAAACATGTTCAACTCAAGACAGTATTGTATATAGGCAGCACTACAAAAGTCTATATCCCCCAGTACAATAAACCCTCTTTCATATACAACCGATAATTTCTCGATTAAAAAAACAACACAAACGGGACCGACAAAATTATACTAAGACGACGACGAGCAGGCCTTACAGCTCTTCCTGCAATACCCAACATCATCCTCAGAGCCAATCATGTAAAGAGGGTTCCTCTCGCATTCTCCTTTAAGAGCCCATGCAGTGCAGTTTGGATTCTCATCCGTACATTCCCCGTTTGCTGACCTGGCAGGTGCCGTATCGAAAGACCTCACGTGAATCCACTTTGTTGCAGACCACTTCTCGCCTTCGATTACAGGACAGCTCCCATGCAAGCTTGAAGGATCTGTTGTTGCATCTGGATGGAGACTGAAGAACAACAGAGCATCACCTTTCCTAGGTTTCACTGTCATAAAAAACGCGTAAATAGAAAACCGAAATAAGATTACTTAATTACTATTGAAGTTGTTTAATTCACTTCATTTTTTTATTTTGAATTTGTTTAGTTTTTACCTGCATAGCCTTCTTTAGCGCAGTCGGACCAATTTTCGCCCTTTGGCTGTTTATCTTTCATCTGCATATATACAGTAGATACACAAATATACGAAAAATATTCATATTAAATGCCAATAAAAAAAATTAAAAAAAATACTAATAAAAAGTAAATAACTTGCCTCTGAATTAGGAAAAACTGTTTCGCCGCCTTCTGCAACATCCGATAAATACATAAGCACAGTAGCCACCCGATGACCACCTAATTCAAGATTAGCCTTGTCGTGAAAATAATCAAAATGTGGCTCGTACTTTTGGCCGTGCTCATAGTGCAAAATCTGCATAGCCTCTCCGTTTTCTGTATTAATAGATTTTACAGGAACAGTAAGAAGCCGTAATTGGATAAATAAACGCGATAAAACATCAAATAAACCGTTACACAATACCTATAGGAAGAAATGTCCATGCGGCAATTTTTGCTTCAACGCCAGCAACTATTTCATCCTTCATTCAAGAAACAATAAAATAAAAATAAAAAACATAAGACAATTCATATAAAATAGCCCCAAACAAGAAGATCTTCTAAGGGTCACGAGTCGCTATTCTAAAAAAATTGCTCTGTAATCGATAATCGTGTAAATTTCTCATACGACAAAGACAAGGGGAACATAGATTAATGTTTTACCGTTTCTTAAATGAAGTGACGAAGTAACTGAGATTTCAAACTAACCTGAGCCTTCTTAAGAAACATGCCCGAACTTGTTCGAACTTCACTCTCGACACTTTTGCCAGAATCGTTATCGGCGACCATCGATTTCTCCAGCTTATCTTTAGCCTACTCACACAAATTCCACCACATTAATAAAGACCCCATCTTTTCAATTTTTTTCCTCTTCCCAACAGATAAATCAGATATAAATACATAAATATAGATTAATCCTTTTTCGATAAACAAAGATAATCATATCGAAAAACATTTAAATATTTATTAATCTCTTTAAATTAAACCAGGACTAACCAGAACAATGAGATGATCACACTCCTTATCAGTCAAAAATCCTCTGTGCAGAAACGCCCTGTTGAATTTATCATTTTATTACACTAAACGATTAAAACGCACACAAAATACCCAATTTCCTGTAAACCTAGAAAATAAAAAAATTAGACCTGGGAGACCAAGAAATTTGGGTGACTCGCGTTGGATCAAACGACGTCGGAGAACGGATTGTCGATTTAACCGCTGATGCATTTCTGTTGTAAAAACAAACAAATCAGGCGTGATCTGCATTCAATAATAAATAAGATACATATACAAATTGAGAGAGATAAGCATGTACCCATGAGAGGATTGAACGAGAAAACACAGAAAAATCAAAAGAATTTTGATTGGGTCCATCAAAAGGGGAAAAACCAAAATTGAATCTCTTTTGCGGTTTCCCGGTGAGGCAAAATGTTGACGGGTTGATGAAGAAAATTCAACAAAAATGGAGTTTGATTTTGTCTCTGCCTCTCTCTCTCTCTGCAATTCAGCTTCTTGTTTGTATTCGTTCCCAACTGGAACGCAAGGACTATTATTACAAGGGGTCGCCCACAGGATTTAATGGGATTTTCCCTTTTTTTTATTTTCTTTGCATTCAACACCCTGAGTTAATGTTAAATTACGAAAAACTCCTATCATATTTGGGTAATTATAAAAAACCCTAAATTATGAATCTTCTTACATGTCCACCCATGCGGTGTCAAACTTAGTGGAATTTTCTAAATTATGTGGAAATTTCTACAGTTTTACCCCATTCGAGCTCCACATTTTGGAACAAGATGATCATAAGTATCAGATTGTGGTGTATCGAAAACTGCATTTTTGCACTAAACGAGTACAAATTAGAGAACGTTCCACATAATCTAAAAGATTATGTAGAATTTGACATTATAAAGGTGAACGTATAAGAAAATTCATAGTTGATGGATGGTTATAATTACTCAAACAGAAGGATTTTTTTTCATAATTTATCCTATTTTCTTAATCAAAATTTCCTTAATAAACATTCAGACTTTCGACAAGGAAAATTAAAAAAAAGAAAATGTGGCAAATTTGAAGTATTACTTAGGGATGAAAATAAAGTACTATTAAAATGTGGCAAAAGTAATGGTGTCGTAATGTACCATTATTTACTTGCATGTTTTGGTCATAATGTTGAGTCGTTGACCAATGAAAGTCAATAATTATTCTATTTCATAGGGATATAATTAGAATTTAATTGTGTAGAATATACTATATAGTAATTAGAAATTGATAATAAATGCATCAAAGTTTTGACTTTTATATTTGTTGATATTATTCAAGAAGCAAATTGCTAGGCTCAAACTCGGCCCGTATCAAACTTGGACATGGCCCGAAATCAACGGGCCCGAACGGGTAAAAATTAGTTAATCCTGTTATACTGTTCATAAACAAAGGCTCCATTTTTCATTCAGCATCCCATAATTTTATCAGCACCAATCCTAGGTTTATCAGCCACGTCACCATCATTTCCAGCCAAGGCTCTATACTTATCCTTCCTAGTAAAACCAGTGCACTCATACGAAAGGCTCACAGCAATCATCCTTTGTATACAATTCGCCACCTCATGGCTCGATTTCTCCCCGCCGCCACATGTCAGCTCCTCAGGCATCTTACTCAAAAACGTGACCTCGTAAGCCGGGCTCGGGTTCATAAAGAAGTAAAACGGGTCCATCCCTTTCCAACCACGTGCGGTAGTACCATGAAACATGCTCATTTTATTGTTCATCGCCACGGGTACTAAATGGTCCGTTAGCTCCGCGAAAAGTGCTGAAAATCTCAATAGAAACGGTTCCCTACAAGTGGTCCCCTCCGGACAAATGACCAAATCGCCCTCCTGTAATAACTTCTTGATCATGTCGGCATCTTTGACTCGGTCACGGTTCAAACGCACTGTTTTGATGGGTGATATGATTTCGGATAATCGGGATAGCGAGTATGTGACAGCTGGAATAGGGCGGCCGAGTGCTGTGGAGAGGAAAATCGGGTCGAGTAGGGTCCGGTGGGAACACACGAAGAGGACACCACTTCGGCCTAGAGATTTCTCCGGTGGGGGCGGCGGCCCCCCCTTGACGGTGACTCTTACTCCGAGCGCTCGAAATGCGTAGTAAACGATACTCATTGGGAGGAGTGAACCGGCCATTATACGTAGGCATGCTAGGACAAAGCCTATTGGGATCCATAGGATGATTAATAGTGCCATTACGGGTGTCGGTTTTTGGACAAGACACCCGTCATGGAAGACTATTGGCTTTAACAACTTGTCTGTGCTGACGGGGCGAATTTCGGGTTTCCTCGGAACCATGTAACTTTCCTGTATTTCCGATATAATCAAGAAACACGAATAAACATCACATTGTTCAATAGTTCGTAATAATTTCTTGAAATTTGAAAAAAAAAAAAAAAAAAAAGACCTTGCAGAGGTTCATGAAGGGAAAATCGGTCTTTCTGTCACCGAGTCCGATTTCTGGTTTCATAGTGGTGAACGTCTTTTGAAGGGCGTGTGCTTTATTCTCGCCGACGAGCACTCCAGGTTTTGTAACAAACCCTGTGGCTCTACCTTTAAAAGTCGAAATCTCGGTACCTAAAACCAAATCAGCACCTAAATAGTCTTTCAAGAAAGCCTCAACCATGATCCTAGGATTGGCTGTCAGCACGCATTTCTGACCGCACGATGAGAAAACCCGAAAAGCCTCCGGGTGCAAATCGGTGGAGTAGAATTTAGGCAAAACTGCACGTGCAACCGACTCAATATCGGAAACCCTCATCCCTGCAAATGCTGCGAATATGAGGATTTGAATGCCTGCCGATTCGGAGAAGAAATAGTAGAGAAATCCAGCTAGTGGAGATGCTAATAGCAAGAAAAGAAGCCTTAATATCCCACCGACTTCAAACGCAACTAGCGCGAAATACGGAAACGAACTACGGCCTATGAGTAATGTTCCGTCCAGGTCAGCAACTACTGTGTGTTTTTCGCGCCCGTGGGATTCGCATTTGCTCACATTTGGAAATTTACCCATTATTATTAATTTGAGGAGTTTATGCTTAATGTTGCTCTAAACTTATCTTAACTTTCTTTGCACCATCTATATATATATATATATATATATATATATATATATATATATATATATATATATATATATATATATATATAGTAACCATTAGGATGTAGACAAAAATATTATCGGTTATGAGATCAATGAAATTCGGAGCTATACAAAGTTGTCTGATTCAGGGACTTCATTGAAATTATCGACAAGTTTAATGTTTCTTATTTAAGCTTATGACAGGATTAAGCATCTAAGCATATACATTACGGCTGTTATTCCATGACGGCCCAATGTAGATTTCGTTTTCCTGTAATTCACAATTGACGGGATGAGAGCGAAGTTACACAATTATTAAACTAAGTGTGTAATAAACAATGCTAAGTTCTTATGCTTAACAATACTATTTATTAATTAATTATCCAAGGATTTATACCATCAGATGGTTGGAATTTCCGTGCAGAAAGAGACGTCAAGATGTTTCAGCGTATTCGTCTGACAAAATAACTATATACAGTAGATATACATGCAGAGTTGCTTCGGATTTTTCTTACATTTATTTAGTTTATCAAGCTAGTATAATTTCACTACTACTTGTTCAAACAACATTATCTTATTTCCACCGGTGCTAAGTAAACCAATCTTTTATGTGCCAAGAACAAATTTTTTTCTCAAGTCCCAAAATAAATTTACTAATTTCAACCTACACCCAAAAATAAAAATAAAAAAATAAATAAAGATATGACCTTGTTCAACAAGAACCTAGTTTCCAAGCAAAAACAGAAAGTAAAAGTAAGAGATTTTGGCACCTTGTAAAGTAGTGGGAAAGGAGTTCGCCTCATTTAACCATCATCCTGGAAAAGCACTAAAAAAAAAAAAAAAAAAGAAAAAGAAAAAGAAAAAAACAATGTCTGAAAAAACAAAAGCCTGTAAGAAGAATAAAACAAGTGTGGAATCATTCAGGTGAGCAGAGTCCCAAAGAATAAAGCATATTCTATAAAAGATCACCAATACCAATTTTGACATGGACACTTGTTTCATTTCTGCTGTTAACTGGTTTGCTCATTTGTCTCAATCACTTTGTTCTTTTCAAGATTCCCCATATAAAGCAATCAAGAACTCCAGGATTCTTTACTAAACAGTGAAATTCCTGGCAAAAGTTATGTAATAAAGATAAAAAGAAAAGAAAGAAGAAAAGGCAGACAAATTTTCCCTTTGTCAGCAAATGTTGGTAGCTACCTCAAAATACAGTTATTATTCCCTTCAAACAAATCATGGCCCTAAACAATGGCGTGCTTCTTCTCGTTTCACCTGAGCGAAAATCATTACAAGACGGAAATCATTCTCGTCTGATAATTTGTCATCATATGTCATTATGTTCGCAAATTATAGTGCCGAAAATGAAAATGAAACAGATGGATTAAATTAACAAGCAATGTTGTCAATTGAAAGATTTTGTTAAAAATAAAACTACAAATCAGAATCGAAAATCTAACTGCCTCGAGAATAATGATACAACGTCGATTTAAAAAAAAAAAGTTGGTTAAAAAAAATCAAAATCTAAGTAAGGACCAGATGACCTTTCCGAGTCAGTAGTCGTACTCTTGTGATTTCCAGCCAAAGAAGACTTTATCGTCTGATTGACCAATGCAAGATCGACTGGCTTAGGAATATGAGGAGGGGTAGTGCTGCGGATAAGAGCCCAATTCACGCTCTCGAAAAACGGGTGCTGTTTTATCTCAGTCGACCCTCTTTTGAATCCTAATCTTTTCTGAGGGTCCTTTGCGAGCAAACCTCGAATCAAATCCTTTGCAGCGAAGCTAATAGCGGAGCCCTCAGGAAATTTCAGGGGCTGACCAACAACGTTAAACAATGTCTCTCTATTACCGTTGCCTTTAAACGGCGTCTTCCCATGAAGCAACTCGTACAAGAAAATACCGAACGTCCACCAGTCAACAGCACTGCCGTGACCGTCTCCTCGAATAATTTCCGGGGCTAAATATTCGTGGGTCCCGACGAAAGACATGGATCTGGCTGCAGTTGGCTCTGCTACGAGCACGGGGAGAGAATCTGAGCTGGACAGATTTATCCTTTCGCCTCTTGCTTTCACAGGTTTCGAGTTGAAAAGACGGGGTTTGAAGCAAGAGGGTCGAAAACAAGAAGGCTCAACTACACAAACAGGCAATTTGAATGATGGGTCGATGCAAGATGGCTGTATACAATACGAAGAAATTGTACAAGCTGCTCCGTTGTTGGATGTTAGAAGGGTCGGGCTCACATAACATCTCAATGATAAATCGAAATCCGATAGCATAATATGGCCGTCTTCTCTCACTAGGACGTTTTCGGGTTTCAAGTCACGGTACACCACCCCCATCATATGTAAATACTCGAGCGCAAGAAGCACTTCCGAAGCATAGAACCTATCAAACAGAAGAAATTTGTTAGTATCAGCGAGTACCGATAACTCTCTCTTTAGACAGGCAAGATAAAAATAACATTTACCAAATTCACATTTCATACAATTTGAATCTAGAAATAAATAATACATAAGATAACATTATTACATTTCAGAATTAGCAAAATATGGAAAAATCAAGAACTGTATTCATCTACTGAACTGATCCAGCAAAGTAAACCGCCAAATCAAACACTAGCTTCCCAGTGTCATCACTCAATTAAAGGGTAACAAAGTTTCAAGAAAATTCAATTTCTTGATTTATCAAGATGTTAATAAACTGCTGAAATAAAGTAAGATACGAAAACCAAGTGCTATTATACCTTGCTGCTTGTTCGGAGAAATGTTTGCCGGGCTGACGCTGCCTAAGCAAATGCAGGTCTCCACCGCTGCAAAACTCCATTAGCAAACACGAAAATTTATCCGTCTCGAAATGCGAATAAAGAGTCGGAAGAAAGGGGTGATCCAACAAAGCCAAGATATCTCTCTCAGTTTGAGCTCTCGCCACCTTCTTTCTACTAACCAACATCCCTTTATCCATTACCTTCATGGCGAAGAAACACCCCACACTTCTCAACTCCGCAAGATAAACACTCCCAATATCCCCAAATCCCAATTTTTTCAAAAGCCTAAAATGCCCCAAACCCAGCTCCCCATCTCTCGCCGTGACACACTGTATTGCATCCCACCCCGCGTCGTTCCCCTTGTGCGGTTTCGATGGGCAGAGGCTTCTAAAACTAGCCTCGTTTGCATCCACCACCACGCCATTACAGTACCCGACGGAGCTCAAACTACTCTTCTCACTCCCCACGCACTCCTCCTCACCCGCGCTCGCCTCAACATTTTTGATATCAATCGTCTTGCCCACGAATCCGCCGTCGCTGATTTTACTACTGCCGACGCTGCTGGTATTGTCGGATCCAGTAACGGTGCTGCAGCAAAAATCAATGCTTGGGCTGTTATTGATGCTGAGATCTTGAAAACTGGACTTTAGAGAAACGGGGTCTTTGTTCGAGCTATTATCATCAAAAGCTTTACTCATGATTTGAACGAAAAAGAAAATGGGGGAGAATTTATGAGTGCAGCAAAACTGTTTGATGAAATGACTGAGACAGCAAAAGGGTTGATTTAAAGGGTGGAGGAAAGGGAGGGAAAAAGGGGCGGAGTGGTCAAACGGAAAGTGGAGACGCCGAGGTGGTCAAAGAGAGAGAGATGGAGAGTGAAAAATGAAAATGGCGTTCAAATTTGAAATGTGGGTTTGAGTTTTGAGAGGCCCAATGAATACTCTCTCTCTCTCTCTCCATTGTTACACTGTCCGATGAATTTGAACAGCTTTTGGACAAAATATTTTGGGAATATGGTTTGTTTTGTGTTATACCCAATAAATGAATTATTTACGTGTATACATAAAAATATTTATATGTATATGCATATGTTGTAAGTAGAGTTATTTTGGGGCAAATTATGAAAACATTTTTTATGTTTGTATAATTTCAGTCATCGTTTAACTATATAATATTTTATGAAAATACCCCTTCAGAGGTAAATTTATGGACGTTAAATTGATGAAATCGAATTAAATTGTTTGTACTTCAACATTCGTACCGGTTACCGAACTGAATATACGATTTGGTTCGGTGAATAACCAAATTACATAATTTTTTTGTAAAAATATTTAAAAAAGAAAGAGTGACTGTAATTACTCGAATAAGAGATTTTTTGTAATTTGATAGGTTGACGTAATTTACCCTTTAATTTGTTATTTAAGATTTAAATATATGGGCCCTTAATATATAGGAAATAAACATGGATAATGTGGGGGGTGGGTAACGACTAACGAGGAGGGGACAAAAGCCTATACCAGATTATGTAAAGAAGCCCACATTTTTTATGGCCAATTTATTAATATTTAATACAGTTGTTCTTTTTCTAGCGGATAAAGTTTTTTAGAGCAGTGCCTTTTTTCCCTTTTTTACTTTATTTTTATTTTATTTTTTAGACGTAGAAACTAAAAAGAAGATATGTTTTATTTTTTTTATTTAATTTTAGTTATTATAAAGTTTGGTTTTGTAAAACTGAGTTTCCATAAGTGAAAGTGTGAAACCATAAAATTTTGTTATTTCGAACATGGTATCCGAACTCAAATGAAGTGCATACTGTATGAAAGTCGAATTTCGAGATTGGTTTTGAACTAGTTCGTACTATATGTCATTTTCCTACATTGGAAATAATTAGACACAACGTACCGGGTAAAAAAATATAATTAGATTATTCAAGAAATTAGAGCAACACCAAATAAAAGAATATAATGCAAATTCAAAATTAAAATTTTCAAATATTTAAATTTTGAAATTCTTATAGATAGAGAAACACATGCAATGGCTAATATTATGCTGGTCAGTGGATATTGTTGGACATATATTTAAAGATGATAATAAATATTCAACGATATATATTGGTAGGTCAATAAGCTGAAACATAATAATAACACATTTCTTTTAATAAAAATAATAAAACTTTACTTAACATTTATACCAACAGCATGAAAAACAGATGGAGATAGTATTTAAATTTAAAACATAGTAATTTATAAATAAATGGCTGCTTGTCTAATTTAATGTTGTTGCATGATTGAGGACATAATTAAGAAATAAGAATTACTTTTCAAATAACAAAGAAATGAAATAACCAATTGAAAGTTATTAGAATCAATGTCAGTTATGTGAGCAGTTGAAATTGTTGTGTATGGTTGGTTGAATTTTAAACTCTTCAAAGTTTTTGTTATGATTTTAAAAATTAAAAGTCCTTATTTTATAAAAAAATAAAAAAATCATAATATAATAGCAATTTTCTTTTGAGAGCAATTTTAAACTTTGATAAAAAAGAAAAAGAAAATCTTATGTCATAATCGTTTATCAAGATTTTCGTAACTCTAGATTATAGATTATATATGGGTGTAAATGAGCTCATCGAATCACGAGTCTCGCATGTCGCTTGAAAAACATTCAACATTCGAACTCGGCCTTGACCACTTCAAACAAATCGAACTCGGCTAGAATAGGACTCGTTTATATTTCTAAATTACGTAAGGATTATGTATTTCGATAATTAATATTGATTGCAATCTTGAGTAGTGATGGCTAACATATGAAAGGAAGAAAGCCATTTTGCTTTATGGATTTAAAAAGCATGTAATTAATCCTGCATTTAATTTAAAAATCCTTAATTTTTACAAAAAAAAAAAAATAGTTTTCAGTGTTGCAACCGGCAATTTCCAGTCGCCGGTCTTCCTAAACTGTAATTATTAGATACTGATTAATATTAGCATTAGTCCAAAAAGTCCAAACTACCCCTTTTTCACCGGTTAATTTTCTTAGTCTCAAAGATTTTCAACCTCAAAACTTGACTTACAATCAAATAAATCAAACTGCAAAAAGTCAAGTATTTAATTATTTTTTCTGGTAGTATTTATATGCAGCAATATTGCAGCATAATTTACCACTTGATAACTAATTTTTCAATAATGACATTTCTACCTCTTTGTATTGCTCTTGTATGGCTCTTTCTCCCATCAGGTATTTTCTTAATAAAATCAACTTATTCTTATTTATTACCTTAATTAAATAATATTTATATTGTAAATAATAATAATAAAACAATATGTAATTGTGCAGGCAATTTACAAGCCCACGCGAGCACATTGTACGTGAGTAACAAATGCCCATTTCCAATATGGCCGGCAACCGCCCCAAATCAAGGGCACCCGGTTTTAGCCAACGGTGGATTCCACCTCCAACCGGGTAAAACCCGAAAATTCCAGGCTCCGGGTGATTGGACGGGTCGGATCTGGGCCCGAACGGGCTGCAATTTTGACCCGACAGGAAACCGAAAGTCCGCCTGCGAAACAGGGGATTGCGACGGCAAACTCGAGTGCAACGGGACAATCGGAATCCCTCCGGCCACATTAGTCGAATTCACGCTCCAGATCGACAAGAAGAAACCTAATTTCTACGACGTCAGCCTCGTGGACGGCTACAATCTGCCCGTCCACGTGTCGCCAAGGTCGCCGGCGGCGGAATCGAAGTGCCACATCGGCGGCTGCTCGGGGAACTTGAAGGCGGCGTGTCCGGCGGAACTGCAGGTGGTGAATGGGAGGGGTGAGATCGTGGCGTGTAAGAGCGCGTGTTTGGCTTTCAACCTGGACTCGTTTTGCTGCAGGAATGAGTACGGCACCCCGGAGAAGTGCAGGCCGAGCGTCTACTCCAAGATGTTTAAGGATGCTTGTCCGTCTTACTTTAGCTACGCCTTCGACGCGCCGCCGCCACTGGTTAACTGTGCCGCCGATGAGTATGTGATTACTTTCTGCCCGGAAAAGTGGGGTGGTGCTGTTGATCATATGTCTGATTAGTGATTTAATTGTTGTTTTGATTGGATTAGTAATAAATAAAGTAATTATGTTATGTTAAAAATTAAAATATCATTGATTACTTGTTCTAGTTTCTATCGCCTTTTTTTCATTTTTTTTTTCTTCTTTTTTATGTGTGTGAACAATATAAACACGTGCTGATAAATAAATATAAATTATCACAAAAATGTAATTTTACTATGATAGTATGGTTAACAAATAAAAAAATAGTTCAATAATTTGAAATTCATTGTATCAACTCGAAGTATTAAGCTACATTTGGATATACTCCAATTAAAAAAAAAAAAAAAATTGAAATCCAAATTAATAAATAAATAAATTATTTAAAAATAACACCATTGTAATACCTATTTTATCCTAATCAAGTAAGGTCCCGTTTGGTTGACAAGATAAGATTAAATAATCTAATGAAACCCAATTATTTTATTGGATCTTGCAACGTCCAACAAAAAATACTCATTAGAAGGCAAGATAAGCCAAGATAAGACAAGATAAGTCATGATTATATAATTTTGGCGGGTCGACCCGGCAATTTACTGGGGATACCAAACATCAAATTAAGTCCAACTATTTAGTTAATCATGACTTATCTTGGCAACCAAGCGGGACCTAAAAAGATTCATGATTTTTTTTTATATGAATAAAAGATTTTTGATTAAATTGTATTAAAAAAATAATAATAAATATGGGCTTCAAACATTCCATGAAATAAAGCTAACCCGGCCCATTTCCTTGTGGAGTCTAATTATATTCCAACCCGGCCCGCTAGCGGCGCTCGCACATTAGGGTTTTTGAAGCACAATTCCTCTCTTCGCTACTTTGCTCTATATATTGAGAAACTCTCGCCGCTGTTCATATCTTCATCCACCCATTAGACTTTTCTTCATCTTTTTTTCTTTTTCATTTTTTTATTTCTCGACGAATTGAAATCATGTGATGAGAGAAAAACTGCAACAATATGATCGGTAAATTACCTCTGATTCGTAGTATTTAAGTCTCTGATGATTTCCCCCTTTTTATTATTCCAATTTTTAATAACCCCAATTTTCTGATGATTTCCCCTTTTTCTTATTCCAAATTTTTATGGTTATTTAGGGTTTATATTATGATTTAAGAAATTTGGGAGAGATGATGAATAATTTATTTGGTCCGTGTTTCTGAATAAAATTGATTGATAAAACCTACCAATCTCTGATCTCCCCTCAATTATTCATTTTTTTTAATTTGATTTTTTTTGAAATTAATTGTGGCGGCTCTGTGATTACCAGCCTAATTGTTTAGGTTAATATACGCTAATCTGATAACAATTATGAGTAGATAACTTTTTAATAGACTGAGAGCTGCGCTTAATTAATTTTGTTAATCCTTCATTTAATATTTAATTTACTTCTGCTGTGATGATTTATGAATAAATTCACATGTCAGACTTCAGAGATTTTTGCGAAAAAATCTATGAGAATACATTTCATTTTTCCTGAGCAGGAGTAATTTATTAAAAATATATAATTGTGATTATGATTTAGGTAATGTGTGTTTGCGGTGATGATTAGATGTTAATCCCAGCTCATTATGAGACCTTCTTTGTGTAAGGTCAGGGATAATTAATATTTCTCTCATCTGTCTGAGCATTTTCATTTTTGCTAAATACATTTATTTTGTATATATATAATTATTATATATTTATTATTTTTGTTGTTTTTTTTAAATAGTGTTCCTGATGATGCTACAAACCATGCTAATTCTGATGAATTTATGACTGAAATCCGATTTTCGGAAATTTCCTGAGGGGACATTTATTTACTTTAAATTATTGATTTTACTAAATTTAATTTATTTAAATAAATAAATCAAAAAGTATGTGAATTGAAGATATAAATCCTTTTAGAATCCAGGACTACAAATTAATTAGTTGGATTGACAAATTTGCTATTTAATCCAAGCTTTGGTCCGCTCAAGTTCATATACCATTGGGATGCTCAAGTCTCAGTTATTAAAACTGTAGATTATACAAATTATTTTATTTATAAAATTTGTTTGTTGAGAAATTATTCAGAATCTGTTCTTTTTTCATATCAGTTAGTTGTTTACCTTTTTATCTGTATAAATAGTTTCTTCGGGCAAATTACCAAAACCCCTCTGAGGTAAGCCTAAATAACGAAAATCCCCCCCACGTTTTCGTAATTACGAAAACCCCCCTTGACTAATGGTTGACCGAATTTTTTTAACCGAAAACGTGAAATGTCTATTATATCCTTTTGTTAAATATGTGAAAATAAAAGGGCAAATTACCAAAACCCCCCTGAGGTAAGTCTAAATAACGAAAATTCCCCCCACGTTCTCGTAATTACGAAAACCCCCCTTGACTAACGGTTGACCGAATTTTTTTTATTTATATATTTTAATTGATTTTATTTATCCAGAGGAGTATTAAACCGATATTGTATATTAAATATAAACGAAAACCCCCATTTACATGTTGTATATTAAATATAAATTAATCTTTAAAAAACAAAAAAAAAACAAAAAACAAAAAAAGAAATAAAAACAAAAGAAACAAAAAACAGAAAAGGAGAAAAATATATTAAGTCTTCTTCTTCCCTTCCCTTCGTCCTTCGGAAGAGACGACCCAATCTCCAGTCCTCCTTCGGAATACTTCTCTCCATCAATCGACACGACTCCAAGCTTTCTCGCCCTTGGCAATCCGAAATCTGCATCGCACAAGTCGAACTTCGGCGAACCGGAATATACAGTTATCATTCTCAGAGACTATACAGTTATCATTCCAATCGCGGTTTCGGTCAACCGGAACTGCTCATCGAACTTCACCTGTGGAGCGCGGTTCGATTTTTTCGGATTCATCACATCCCAGAACTCTACCATGAACGCAGAACTCTACCATGAACGCAGTAAAAGCAACGGAGAGATAACCCCGCACCGCTCTGTAATCGGGACCCGCCGGAATGAGCGCAGCGAAGCCGCTGTGCTTCATCCCGACGGACAGAATGCATGCGGAATAAATCCCGTCGCACGGGATTTTCTGCGTCAAATTGCTAGGGATTATCAGGCACGCATAGCTTGCGAAATGAGGGAACAGAGAGAGAAATCTGACGAAAGTCAGAGTGTCGGGATAGCACTGCATTTTTTCGTTGGTGTTCTTTCGGATTTGGATGCCGAAATTAGCAACCAATTTCAGAATACTCTCGCGACCAAAACCACCAGCACCGGGAATCTTTCCGATTTGATGCTGAGTTATGTTTCCTCTCACAAGACCAACAGTGACGGCCTTCATGATCTCGCCGTAAGCCTTTTTCGTGTTCCATTTTCCGTCGGAGATTCTTTCGGCGATCTTTTCATAAAGGGCCTTCCGATTATAGTTACAGCAAGCATAGTCCTGGAATGATAACTGTATGGTCGCTATTTGTGTATAGTCTAATCGCTCCGGCCGTAAGGTGAAATTGGGTCACTTTGAGTGCTCTGATTAAAAGAGAAGAACGACGCGGCAATATAGCGGGATTGGCCGTTTGCAATGCAGCTCCGGAGGTCTCACATTTACTTTTTGCCGATGATACTATGCTTTTTTGTAATGCTAATATTTCTTCTGCTGAATGCATTAAGAATATCTTGTATAAATATGAGCAGGCCTCGGGTCAGATTGTTAATTATACGAAATCTTGCATTGCTTTTAGTAAGAAGACGAGCGTAGAGAATGTAAATTTGATTTGCTCGAAACTTAATATGGAAGTGGTGGACAAACATGATAAGTATTTAGGCCTACCTTCTGGGTTAGGAAAGTCTAAACGAGAAGCTTTCGTGAATATTCGAGACCGAGTTTGCCAACGTCTTCAAGGGTGGAAAGAAAAATGGCTTTCAAAAGGGGGGAAAGAAATTTTAATTAAAGCGGTGATTCAAGCTATCCCGACATATGCGATGAGTTGCTTTCGACTTCCACGATATTTTACCGAAGAAATCGAAAGGTTGATGGCTAAGTTTTGGTGGGAAGATAGTCAAGGCAAAGGAGTTCATTGGGCCAGGTGGAAGGAATTGTGTAAAAGCAAGGATTTTGGGGGTCTTGGCTTTCGAGACTTGCACGCTTTCAATACGGCGCTATTAGCCAAACAAGTCTGGCGGTTGTTGGTATCTCCACATAGTTTACTGGGAAGAATCTTTAAGGCTAGATATTACCCACATTCGGACATTTTGGGCTCAGGTTTAGGGTCTAATCCGTCATATACGTGGAGAAGTATTTGGGGAGCGATAGAACTAGTGGAGAAAGGCTCACGCTGGAGAATTGGAAATGGGGCGAAAGTGACCATTTGGCGAGATAAATGGCTTCCAAGAGAACGAACTTTTAAAGTTTTCACTCCTCGAGAAAACTGGCCGATTGATATGAAGGTGCAAAGCCTTATTGATGGTAATACAGGTCTATGGAAAGTTAATATGATTGCATCTATGTTCTATGAGGAGGATCGGAAAAGTATTCTCTCTATACCAATTGGAAGCGCGATTAATGAAGATCGACTTATATGGCATTACAATAAGAATGGGTTATTCTCCGTTCGAAGCGCCTACCATACCGCGGTTCATTTAGAGCAAGAGAAAGCGGGTGTTAATATTGCAAGTGGTTCATCTCTCGTTTCATCGAGATCTTGGAAATGGCTTTGGGACTTGAATTTGCCGAATAAGATCAAGATCTTTTTATGGCGTTGTTGTAATAATCTTCTTCCGACACGCCAAAATCTTACTAATCGGAAGATTTTAGAAAACAGTTTATGTGAAATTTGTGGGGCTGCAGAGGAGGATGTGTTGCATTGTTTGTCCTTATGTTCGTTTGCGAGGCAGGTTTGGGCGTTAAGTGGAGTGGCATGGTCGATCCATTGGCCGAATAATTGCTCAATTGTGGATTGGTTCTTGCAAATGAAGAAGAAGCTTGATAAAACTGATTTTGAATATTGTGTGGTGATCTGCTGGGCTATTTGGTATGGAAGAAACAAGAAATACTTCGAGGAGGCCAACCATTCGGCTCTTGACATTATTTTGCTCGCAAAGAATTTTCTTATGGAGATGCAAGGGTCTGTTTCCGAGGTTCTTTGTTCAAAACCTCCGTTAAAGATGCAAAGATCGAGTATCAAGTGGGAGGTTCCATTTAGAGACGAGGTGAAAATTAATGTCGACGCTTCACTTGCTTCGGTGGAACATGGTTGCGGGCTAGGAGGTTTGGGAAGGACATCTGATGGAAATTGCATAGCCTGGTTTTCGACACATTGTCCTCTTTTCATTGATCCTACTTCAGCCGAGGCTATGGCGGCACTCAAAGCTATGGAATTCGCCCAAAACCACCGGTGGAGTAGAGTAGTTCTCGAATGCGATTCTAGCACTATAGTTGCTGCTATTGCTGGAGAGTTTGGTAGTCGCACGATCTACGGTAATGTTATTGGTGGCATTAAACGCTTAGCCAGCACGTTTGAAGTGTTCAAGATTCGTCACGTTAAGAGAGAAGCAAACCGCGCAGCCCATGAGATTGCTAGGCTTTCGTCGATAGACTCTTTTATGTCGAACGTTCTTCCTAATTTTATTATTGATATTGTAAAATCTGAGTTTCCTCATTAATGAAATTCACGTCTCCTCAAAAAAAAAAAAAAAAAAATCGCTCCGGCCGTGGCCGTTGGCTGGTGCCATTGGGTATGATAACTGTTGCTCCTTTTCACCCATGTATTTATGACCCCTCATTAAATAAAATGCTTACAATTACCCCCCTAATGGTAATTTCGTGTACAAGGGCAAAATTGGTATTATCGGAGGAATATTCGGGAGAATCAAAAAGATTCTATCGAGTTTAACACCGTTAGAGCGATTTGTAAGATGTCTGCATACCTCAGGGGGGTTTTCGTAATTACGAGAACGTGGGGGGGATTTTCGTTATTCAGACTTACCTCAAGGGGGTTTTGGTAATTTGCCCATAGTTTCTTCTTATTGGAAATAATTTATAATTTTATTTCTTGTTCAGTGCGTGTTATGTTGTATTCTCGTCTTTCCATTGTATTTAAGAAAACTGATAAATGTATGGATTTTTCTCACATAATATCTGTTTAGGTGTTTGCAAAATTGACTTTGCTTATGTTTTTCTTAATATTAAGCTATAATTTTAAAAACAAACTTTTTTTATTTTAGTTATTTTTCTAGATTTTTTTCAAAACACCCTCAACTTTTATAATTAACCACTTAATATTAACCTAATTCACAATCACCAACTTATACTTTTAAATAAGCTTTTGCAAATACCACCTTAATTTTCTAAGTAGTAAGTAGTAAGGGCAAATTTGAGAAAAATATAAAATATTGTATTAAAATTATAAAGTGACAATTATTTTGAAAAAAAAAAAATTCTAGTAAAGATGGAGGTTGTATGTTTTGAACTATAACAATTATGGGAAATATATTGCCATATGATTTTTGACTTACTCTTAATTGCGTCAATTTGCCTCCTGTATTTGAAAATTTGTGGAAATGTATCCCTCGCCGACACTGTTTAAGTCTGAAAATTACAAAAATTACCCATTTCAGTTTAAATAATTATTAAAAAAATAAATTATAGTTGCTGTCGTGCACTATGCTTTCTCGTTGTCTTGAATTTTTTATTATTTTGTTTTTGTTTTTGTATTTCATTTTTGTTTTTTAGTAATTATTTAAAATGGGAGGGATAGTGTTTTTGTAATTTTAGAGCTTAGACCAAACGGTGTTAAAGTCAAATGTCTGACAACTAACAGCGATGACCATATTGAGACAGTTTTTCAAGTACAATGGGACAAGTCGATGCAATTCAGAATAGAAGAAAATAAACTAATGTAGAGTCAAAAGTATAATTTACCCAAACATAAATGCTTGTGTTGAATAATTAGTCAATTAAGTCAATGTTTAAATAATAAATAAATAAGTCATGTAGCAGCCCCTAGCTTAGGTACCTCAAAACAGAAGAAAAGTGAACGAACAACGACTGTGTGAAATGAAGAAAGTCAACCTGGAAAAAATGTGTGTGTGAACATGTGAAACTAATTTGTTATTAGCAAAGTCCTATTTCTAGAAAATTACTAATTGACTAGTCTGTATCTCACTTCTACACTTTCTATATATATATATATATATATATATATATATATATATATATATATATACATACTAATATATATGCCCAAGAGAGTGTAAGATTATCATTAGTACTAAATTAGTTATATATGTACTCTAGAGAGAGAAAGCGACTGATTGAAAAATGGAGCTGCGGAAGTGGCGTCGCAGGAGAGATGACACTTGATCTACTTTCCCTTTGCTGGAAAGTTTCAATCGGGTGCCGTCTCTCCTGCGGCGCGACACCGGTCTACTCTTCACATTGCCAAGGTAATTAGACAAAATTCGTCGCAATTTATTACGGTTCACGCGTTTATCATTTTCTTCTCTCGGAAGTAGAATTATGGCAACGTATTAATGACGTCACACGAGTGACGCATAAGATTTTTTTTTATTTAGTCACATAAATCGATAATTTGCCAGTTCGCCGCCACTTGTCGTTAATTTTCAACTACTTAAATTGCACATCTCGAATACATCAACCTTACTAGAATAAAATGTGTCCGTCCACCGGATGCAAATATATGAACCAACGCCAAAAGAAATATATGCACATCGGGTTTAATTTATTTAATTTGGTGGAGAAAGAGAAAAAAGGGCTGTGGTCGAAAGTGAGACGAGGCCTAATGCTAGTTTGATCACTCATAAACCTCGTCTCTCTTCGACCAAAGCCCCTTCATCTTCTTTTGATTGCATTTCCAGAGGTTTTGCCAAATTTAAAGGTAGTGTATACTTATCTCTCATCTACAATTGTCATCATTGAATTCGAAACCTTAAGAAATAGAAAATTAACCGTGACCAATTTCGATTTTCTGAGTCGATCTTGATCGTGTTCTGTAGGCAATGAAAGCAGATAATATACAACATAATTGCAAGAACAAGAGTAATATCTAATGTATGCTTGAAAACACAAATAAAGAGAAGAGAGCTGCCATCTGTAATCTTCATTTTACTCCCATCACAGCTCATAATATAGTGAAATTCACCCAACTAAAAATAGTTAGGTGAATACCGACAAAACCAACAACAAACAAAAACTCGTCGTAAAAATTCACCTAACTAAAAATAGTGCCCCCACGGCTTACTACCACATGCATCATTTCGATGACTCCCGTTTCTTTACAAACCGAGTAATTACACGTCAAAGAAATACACTGCCACCCCACAAAGGTCGATCGTTCTGCAATTTAGAATTCGAAATCTTGAATTCTTACATTGAGCTCCGAGCAGGATTTTTTTAAAATATTTTTACCCCGCATAAAACAGATTGGCTAAAATGCCGAACACCATTTTGCTATTTGCACTGCCGAGGTCTAAAGTTATCGTCCGAAAGAAGAGAGCTCATAATATTCTCTAGTCTCTTCGCACCGCCGGTAGGTCTGAGAACAGTAGTATTCCCAACAACCGAACAAGGGTCGGTCCCGTTTTCAGTGCCACCTATGCACCATCCACCGGGGACAAATCTGTCTTTTCCCCTAAACAAAAGCTCCTCGTCGATTTTATCAAGCACGGGTTCGTTGTGATGGAACTTTCTAGCAAAAGGGGCGTTACTTTCGATCATTTTTTGCATGTCTTCAGAGTTAAGGTAGTGAGGGTGCTGCTTAGGAGGGTTGTCCCATGATATGAAGTGGAGATCACTGTTCACCGTCGTGTTTCGGAATTCTCGAGCATTGCATATGATCGTGTGGAAATAGCCTTCTGGCGAAGATATGAAGTTTGCGTAGTACATTAGTACAGTTCGAGGTAGATTGTCCCAACCCCATATGACGTAGTCGATGAACGGTCGAGACAGTACCATCCAAGCAGATCCTGTAAGGAAAAAAAAACGCGACGTGGATCACGGTTCACTTCACATACGATTCTCTCGAATCACTTAAAACTCGAGCACACGATTAAAGTAAGAACTTTATTGCACATAGTAGACTGGCCTAAATTACTAAACAAGATTCATAATATTTGGAAGTCGTACTAAAACTAAATTCCAATTGAATCCGACAACCCAAAAAATGAAAAAAAAAACCCGGAAAGCACAGAGTCGAGCAATTACTCAACGAATAGGAAGACACGAAAATGGACCAAGAAAAACCAACATTATTCGACAAGAAAGATGATACATTATCCTCGATAGTTAGGTCTTTAATGAAATTTAATGACACATGGCATAACAAAAGGGTGAAGCATCCATCCCTGATTCTAATTACTCTTTCTTACCAAACACACATAAACAACGAAACAAGTAGAAAATACTAAAAAAAAAACCATAAAATCGAAATCAAGAAAACCACTAATGCCAAAACACACCTGTAAAGAGTTTAAATGCAGTCGGCACACTTCTTCGCTGTGTGATCCAAAACACATCGGTCTTTTTCGTCATGTACAGCCCTGGATCGATGATAATCGGCTTCGCCCTCTGAAACCTAATTAAATGTCATTAAATTTCTTAACATAATTCCTTAAAACACATTAATTAGGATTGCGCAAAACAATTAAAAACGTGTCGGTAAAGTTCACTTACTCTTTCCAGCCAATATCACTTGTATGATCGATGAAATTAAGATCCCGGGGCAAGTACGAAAACGTATGCAGCAGATCTGATCATGAACAAGAACCCACAGATCATTAAATTTAATGCAAAAAGATTCAATTTTTATATTTCAAAAAAGGAAAAAAAAACCCTAAATTGTTACCATCTTGAGTAACGAGAGGGTAATCGGAGGCGCTGAGATTAATGAACCAATCCCATTCCCCACCTTCCTTCAGCAAGATAGCCGCCGCGTGGAGTGTATTCGCCACCATAGTAGGACCACGGTAAGTGACCAAATTAGCCTTGGTAATCATCCGAACATTCTCGAATCTCAGGAAAACGAAGTGGGCAGTTACGTAATTGTACAGATCGAGCCGCTCCTCGGCGGAGGACTCGGCGTCGAGGTGGACAACGTACTGGTTGTTGGGGTGGTAGAGCGCCTCAAGCGTGCGGCGGAGCATCGGCCCATCGCCGGCGGAGCCCGATATCAAGTAGGCGAACCGCGGCGGCGGAGGGAGGCTGGAAATCGGGAGAGGGTTGAGCTTCGACTCGACGAAGATAGAGGCGGAGGCGGCGGCGGCGGAGGAGGAGGAGTAGTAGCGGCGGAGAGGGAAGAGTGGCGTGCCGTCGGGAGAGGTTAGCGTGGTTAAGAAGAGAATGAAGAGTGAAACTATGGAGCCGATGGCGAGTGGGAAGATCCATTTCTTCTCCAACTTCTGTGGGTGTTTCATCTGTAGATAGTAGTTCTTCACCTTCTTCATATCTCCATTCAAAATTCTGGGCTCAATTCAAATCTGCAGATAATCGAAAACAGGAAACAAGATTTAGTAATTGTTGGCGTGGTTTTGATGTTTAGAGGATTTTGAGTTGGGTGGAAGGTGGGAGTTTGGTTGGCTTTTGCTGTGAGAGTTTTCACCCGTTTTTTTTTTTTTTTTTTTTTTTTTTTTTTTTTTTTTTAATAAAAATCAAACCTTTGCTTCTTAGAGATGGAGTGGAGAGTGGTTTAAGAAGTACACCATTTATTTATTTTCTTGCTTCAGAGTTCTGATTCCATCCGTGACTATTACTTTTTTTTTAAATAATTCAACCTAATTATATATTTTCGTAATGCTAACTTACAACTACACCCCTGATATATACTAAAATAACTTTAGATCCTTGTAGTATTAGTAATTTCAATGACCCCTAGAAAATTATTAGAAATTCTGACCGAGTAATAATTTGATAAGTTATTCAGTTAGGGTTCTAATGGAATATTAGTTTCAGAAAGTGATGGAGACAACATGTAGCTAGTAGGTGACATGACTCTCATAACATTTCTTATATCCTTATTATTTTATGTAGGATTTATTTATAATTTTCGTCTATACTAGCATTAACTGCCCCACTAGAAACGAATATAGTGCAAATCTGTTCTCAGGATATGAAATCTTGGCTATCGTAATTACTTTAGGGTGTGATTGTAATTACCTTAAAGTTATTTTAACATACCCAGGCAGGCCTTGTAAGTGTAATTTACTATTTTAATGTTAAAAAATTGACATCTTAGTCCTCACTTTTAAGATTGTAAGGAAATGATACTTAAAAGGTAATTGTTTTACTAATAATAACTTAATGTTACGCAAAACGATTTATTTTTACCTAAAATTGAAATAAAACGAGTATTATCTGAAGTTAACAAACATCCGACGTAAATAACCTAGTGTAACATCTTATAAGTTTTGTCATTGGATGAAATAGTTGTATCATATTATTTTCTGATTATTCCGTAGTATCATATAAACTATTCGAAGTTTTTCTTAGATTATTTTATATAAAATATATTTATATTCATTAAATCATCGCATAGATAAAATAGTAAAATACTATAAATAATAAAAGAAATTCAACATATATTTCAGAATATTATATTAATTGGAAAATCCTTCACTACCACACGTTATATTTACCATGAACTAATTTACGCCCACAGTCGTCTAAATGAGCGCAAGGTCAGTCTCTGTAATTTCCATGCACACACACCACTCCCCCATGCTCTCTCCTTCATCATTGTTACGCTTCACTTTCACAAACATCCTCGTACCGCATGAAAACATCAAGAAAAACAAAACCCAATTCACAATCTTTGCTCTCTCTTCACCGTCAAAGGATGTCTGGCGAAGAGTCCACACACCGGTCCCACCCATCGATACAATGCCGCCGCAACACCTCCGGCGAAAGCATAACCTAGGTTTCATAGACCACAGCGTAGATATGGACGAGCTCTTATCCTCAATTGGTCAGACTTCCGACGAGCACGAACTCTTCGCCCTATTGTCGCCGTATAAATGCCGCAATCTGTCTATCAGATTCATGGTTTCTCTTCTCTCGCGCGAGGCCGATTGGCAGCGCTCGCTTGCTTTGCTCGATTGGATAAACGAGGAAGCGTTGTACACCCCCTCTGTGTTTGCGTACAACGTGGTGCTGCGCAATGTGCTCCGCGCAAAGCAGTGGGAGATTGCACACGGGCTGTTCGACGAAATGCGCCAGAGAGCTCTGTCTCCCGATAGGTATACGTATTCTACCCTGATCACGCATTTCGGTAAAGAGGGCCTCTTTGATGATGCACTGTCTTGGCTTCAGAAGATGGAACATGACCGTGTGCCGGGGGATTTAGTTTTGTACAGTAATTTGATTGAGTTGTCTCGCAAGCTGTGCGACTACTCCAAGGCGATCTCGATTTTCTCGAGGCTGAAACGATCAGGGATTACTCCCGATCTTGTGGCGTATAATTCGATGATCAATGTGTTTGGAAAGGCCAAGCTTTTTCGCGAAGCGAGGTCGTTGATTAGTGAAATGAGGAACGCAGGGGTTACTCCGGATACAGTTAGTTATACGACGCTTCTGACTATGTATGTCGAGAATCAAAGGTTTCCCGAGGCTCTATCAGTGTTCTCAGAAATGAGGGATGTGAATTGTTTGCTCGATCTCACGACGTGTAATATAATGATCGATGTGTATGGGCACCTCGACATGGCGAAGGAAGCAGATAAGCTCTTCTGGGGTATGAGAAAGCTGGGAATAGAGCCGAATGTGGTTAGTTACAACACTCTCTTGAGGGTTTACGGAGATGCCGAGCTTTTCGGGGAGGCCATACATCTCTTTCGGCTGATGCAGAGAAAGGATATCGAGCAGAACGTTGTCACATACAACACAATGATAATGATTTACGGAAAGACAATGGAGCACGAAAAGGCAAACAATCTTATCCAGGAAATGCACAGTAGGAATATAGAACCCAACGCGATTACGTACTCCACGATAATATCGATATGGGGTAAAGTCGGGAAGTTGGATCGAGCAGCTATGCTGTTTCAGAAACTGAGAAGCGCTGGCATCGAGATAGATCAAGTCCTTTATCAGACAATGATCGTGGCTTACGAGAGAGCAGGTTTAGTAGCTCACGCAAAGCGTTTACTACACGAACTTAAACGACCAGACAATATTCCGAGAGCAACCGCCATTCGTATCCTTGCTGGCGCCGGTCGAATAGAGGAAGCCACTTGGGTTTTCAGACAAGCGGTCGATGCTGGGGAGATCAAGGATATAAAGGTCTTTGAGCACATGATCCATCTCTTCTCAAAGTACAGAAAGTACGCGAACGTAATCGAGGTTTTCGAGAGAATGAGGGCGATTGGGTATTTTCCGGATTCTAACGTGATAGCCCTTGTGCTGAACGGTTACGGGAAGCTGCAGGAGTTTGAAAAGGCTGATTGTGCGTATACGGAGCTGCAAGAGGAGGGGTGCGTTTTCTCGGACGAGGTTCATTTTCAGATGCTGAGTCTTTGTGGGGCCCGCAGGGATTTCGAGACGGTTGAGAGATTGTTCGAGAGGTTGGAGATGGATCCGAACGTTAACAAGAAGGATTTGCATCTTGTGGTCGATGGCATTTACGAAAGAGCAAATAGAGTAAGGTTCTAATTAATTCGATTAATCTGTCGTTTGCTGCTGCTTACATTGAGTTTCTTAGCCTGTTGTACATTGCAAGGTTGGTTGTCATGTTGCTTTTATATGTATATATACTTTTTAAGGTTTACTTACATTCAGATTCTGTTAATTGATTTGAGTTCAGCTTTAAGAAATTCGAAATTCTGTTTCAAACTGATGTAGAAAATAATTAATTTGATCATGAATTAAATTGATGTTGTCCATGTATGTTCATTTGTTCTTGCGGAATTTTAAGCTCCATTTGATTTTTTTACAGTCAAATTACGAAAAAAACTCTTCATGTTTAGATAATTACAACTATCTCTCAGTTAAACGTTCATCTTTACGGTGACTAATTTACCTATTAAATAAGGGATTTTTTCGTAATACAATACTGAGTTGAGAAATAATTGTAATTATCCAAACAAAAAGTTTTTTTTTTTTTTTTTCGTAATTTGAGCTTAGCCGAGGGGCTAGGCGGCTAGCCATAATTTTGCTGTCAAACAAAGCAAATGATTCTTTCTTTCATTAACACAACACACAATTTTTTGTTATATAATAACTAAAAACACACTCACTCAAAGTAATTACTTGAAAATTAAATGATACATTTGGTTATTTATACTCCCTAGATTTAAATTATAAATCTCCATATACTTACATACACCTACGTGTATATCTGTGAATAATTATTTAATCAAATTTATGGTCCAAAACTATCCAATGTAAATAATCGCGTATATCATCTAACTCTATGTAATTACAATAGTACCAAGAACATATAAATGAAGTTATGCGTGTGTAAACCTAGGATAAACGTGTGCGTGGCGTGTATCAATTCCAGCAATTCAATCTTCAAATCAATATTTTATTTAATAGTACGTGCTGTATAACTGAATAATAATAATAATAATAATAATAAATAAATAAATAAATAAATAAATAAATAAGAAAAAACAGAGTGGGAAAATTCAAATAATAGTGCCGACAACACTTGATTTTTCAACACTCATTTATTACTGGTTTTTCGATCACATTGGAATGAACAAACAACTCTATCCACATGCTCTTACCTCCCCCTATAAATTGAATTTCTGTATTCAAGAAATTTGTTCAGCCATCCATGGAGGTGATTTCAGGTATGGATTTCTTCAAGAAAGCCAAATCCGTGAGGCTAAAGAGCCACCACGGCAAGTACCTAACCGCCGCCGCCGACGGCGAATCCCTCGTCCAGGACCGTTCCAGCTCCTCCAACTCCGGCGAGTGGACCGTAGAAATCACGGAAGGGCCCAAAAACGCCGTACGTTTGAAGAGCTGCTACGGCAAATACCTTACAGCCCTGGACGAGGAGTATCTCCTCGGAGTAACCGGCAGAAAAGTCGTCCTAACCCTACCCGCTAACCTTGATTCCTCCGTCGAGTGGGAGCCGATCCGAGACGGTATGCGGGTCAAGCTCAAAACCCGGTACGGCAACTACCTCCGTGCTAACGGGGGCTTGCCCCCGTGGCGAAACTCCGTCACCCACGACATCCCGCATCTCCACCACGACTGGATTTTCTGGGAAGTCGAGCTTGTCGATTCCGATAATAATAATTCCCCCCCGAAAGTCTCCCGATCCGATTCCGAGGTTTTACTTATAGTCATCTATAAATTATTTTATTTGTTTATGATTTTTATTTTTTATGAATTGATTGATGATTATAACTTATGTGGTTTGAATTGTTTACGATGAATAGTTTTCTAGTAATTCTTCGATTGAGGATTCGCCTAGGAGGTACGAAGGTCGGGTTATATATTATTCGGTGGCGGATGACGAAGGAAATGTGGATGGTGCCGTTGACGAGTGGCCTTCCTTTCAGTTAAAAGGGCATGGATTGGAAGAACTGACTCGGAAATTGGAGGACGAAACGAAGCTTGAAGATATAATCGTGTGTTCTCGTAGTAATAGTGGAGATGGGAGGCTTTATCCTCTGCGGTTGGCTCTACCTCCTAACGGTGCTACTATGCACGTCGTCGTTATTCCGTCAACATCTAGAGGTTCGTATGTTTGTCCCTCCATGAATATATATGTAGCATTCTTGATCAATCACGAATTAAATTTGTGTGTATATGTTTCGAGTCGAGTTGAGTTGAGTTGAGTTACTCCTAATTAAGACGATTGAATACTAATTAGTCGTTTGTTTGTTTTCGTTGACAGTTGCAAATGACTTCATGCCGGCGGCTCCAACTTGTAAATCGGATCCTTAAGCTTACGGGTCGGGTTTTTAGTCCTTCGGGTGTACTATCATTCTACATTAAGGGAGTTGATAAGAGTGTAAAATAGTACTCTCTCCATGTATGTATGTATGTATGTATGTTTTTGAACGAGTGTAAAACAGTATTTAGTTTTAAGCCTCGTCCGGATACATATACGGATACATATATGGGATCAGTTTGGAAAGTAAGACGTTCATTGGATGCGATTTTGTATTAAAAATGTTAAATTCTGGTATTATATGTGATTTGTTAAAAAAAACAACATTTAATTTATTAAAATTAACATATAGTTATAAGGATAAAATAGTCTTTAACCTCAGGAGATGGATGCTACTAATTTAATGAAATAGTAGCATTTAATACCGCAATTTGATTTTAGTAGCCCACTTGAAAAAATATGAATTTTGCCAATCGAAAAAGTGTGTACAGTTGCAACGGAATGAGCCCGTAAATAATTATGTTCAAATTATTTAATAATCTCTTCAATTATGATGATGATATAATATGGTGCAAGAAATTATTAGAACATATAATAATAAGAAATTATAAAATAGAAATTATAAAATAGAAATCATGCGTTAATTATGGGGAAATATAAAAGGAAATTAAAATAATTAAAGGCGTAAATTCACTACCCTTTTCGTATGTTCAGCTGATCACTACCAAATCTCCAAAGATTCCACACTTAACATTAATTTAAAAAAAAAAAAAAACGTGTCGAAAAACACAAACACCACACTGTAAACATCGACGTCGTCGTCTTGTTGGCGCATATACATACATTTATATATATACATATAACAGTGAACGTTGTCGTATTGCTATTCGTGCATTTTCCGTACTCGTCCCGAAACACTTGCATCTGGCAACAAACTTTTTTTTTTTTTTTTGGCACATTTCTCTCGGTTTGTTTTTCTTCCCTGCAATGTTTTAATTTGCTTGAATTCATATGTAATTGTGACTGAATGTCGGCGGACGCTGCTGTTTTATTAATTGTTGAGCAGGCGGAGGAGATTCAGAAGTGGAGGCGGTGATCGATTTTTTTTTTTTAATTTTTTTTTTGGCGTTTTCCGGTGAGAAATGAAAATGGGGAAGAAGGTGACGATAGGAGTGTGTGTTATGGAAAAGAAGGTGAAATGCGGCTCCGAGGTTCCGTTTTCCTTGTCTTTCAAATTTGAAACCCTGCACCATTGTTCCGAACAATATCATCAGTACTCACTCATCTTCATTCGTTTCTTCTTTCACTCACTCCCCTTTTTTTTTAATTTATTTTTTTCTGGCCTCTGGATTATTTTTTTAGGCTTTCTCAGGGCCGATGCTGCAAATTTTGGAGAGACTACAGGCCTTTGGTGAATTTGAGGTAATTAATCATCGTCCAATTTAAAGAAGGAATGCAAATAATTCATCATTTGTTTTTTTTGAAATGACTGAGTATTTGATCTTAACATTGTGTAGATCGTTCATTTTGGGGACAAGGTGATTCTTGAAGAGCCTATTGAGAGGTGAATCCTCTCAGACATTTTTTATTTTAGCTCTTCTAGTTTTAATTTGCTTGGATGTAACTGTGTACTAATGCCTGGATTTTAAAATGTTGGTAAAAAATTGCAGATGGCCTATATGTGACTGCTTGATCGCCTTCTATTCGAGTGGGTATCCTCTGGAGAAGGCTGAAGCATATGCTGCTCTAAGGAAGTAAGCGTAGATCTAGTTATACATTTTCCATTGATATGGTTTTCTTTGCAAATTTATTTCCAGTGAAGAAAATTATTTAGGACGCATAATCTTGCTTCTGCAGTTTTCTAAATGATCCCTCAGTATAGCTGCTTTATCATTTTGTATCCAGGCCTTTCCTCGTAAATGAATTGGGGCAGCAGCATCTTCTTCATGATCGGAGGGAAGTGTACGAGGTTTGCTTCTTTCGCTCTTGTAGAGGAACTCAAATAATATACATATACCTGTTTGCAACACTCCCTCTGCATTTTATTGTTTGTTTCCTCGTTTATTATGCACTCCAAGGCAGGAAAGGAAAATTACGTGCTCGATGTATAGTGCTCACATTGATTTCCCAGTGAATCGAACTAATTGTCAGTTTCTTAGTCCTTGCATTTTAATTACTAGATAGCCCTCTCACAATCGAGTTGTTGTTCTGACTATGCTCAACATTGACCTTAAAAAACCATGCACATCTTGGTTTTTTCCTTCCTGGCCAGTACAATTTAAAGCAGTTACAATTGATGTAAAATAAATATCTATCTAAAAATGTGGTAATTTTCTTACTAATATTTACTTTTGGGTGGCGGTTGGAAGTGTTACGGTGGTGATGTTGGGATTTATTTGATGGCAGAGGCTTGAAATGTTTGGAATTCCTGTTCCAAGATATGCCCTAGTTAACAGAGAATTCCCTAATCAAGAGCTGGACTATTTTGTGGAGGAGGAAGATTTTATTGAAGTTCATGGAAATAAGTTCTGGAAGCCTTTTGTGGAGAAGCCTGTTCACGGTAAGAAACTTATTAACAATATTTAAAAAATATTGGTTCCAATGTTTTAGATCCTTTTCGTATGATTCACCATCTGGCTTGTGAATCCCAAATTTGCTCCTAATTTGAACTGAATTTCACAATTTTTGTGATTAAATACCTAAATTTCTTGCTAGACTGCTAAATTTGCTTCAACAAATGCACATGAGCACATATTTGGCTGTTTTAGGAATATGTATATGTTGATTAGATCAATTGCCTTGACGAATTATCTAGGTGTGCTCAACACTTTTGACGCCATACCATGAAAGGAGAAGCACCTGATCTTCTCCAAGAGTACATTTTCTTCAGAATGAGGTTGGCGTTGTCTGTAAGAACCAATGTAGCTCACAATTATTTAAAATGCACAAGGCAAAATGATAATAGAAGTCTTATCATAGAATGAAACGAGGAAAAAGACAAAATGGTGCTGGGAACTTTGGTACTGTCTGGTGTTATTACATTTTTGTCTTTTCAAAATGTGATCTAATTATCATCTTCTTTCTGTTGAAGGTGATGATCACGGTATAATGATATACTACCCTAGTTCAGCTGGTGGGGGAATGAAGGAATTGTTCCGGAAGGTGATCTAACCTCTTATTAATGAACACAATAATTTATTATCCTTAATTATGTTTATATTACTTGTTGATAATTTCACAACTTTCCTCAGGTCGGTAATCGCTCAAGTGAATTTCATCAAGAGGTCAGAAGAGTGAGACGCGAAGGGTCTTATATATACGAGGAATTTATGCCCACTGGGGGAACAGATGTCAAGGTTGTCTCATCTGTCTTTTTATGAAATAAATCTTTATGTAGTTTTTACCTCTTAACATAAAGATTGCCTAACTGTGCACAGAGATATTCTCTAAGCAAATTGATTCTGAAATAATTTCGAATTCTTGTTGTATAATAGGTGTATACAGTGGGCCCTGAATATGCTCATGCAGAGGCAAGGAAATCTCCTGTAGTCGATGGAGTTGTTATGAGGAATCCTGATGGTAAAGAAGTAAGTAACTTTGACTTTGATATGTATTTCCTAATGTTTGAACTTCATTCACTGGTTTTAAGAGTTCCTATTTGCAGGTCAGATATCCTGTTCTACTTACTCCTATGGAGAAGGAAATATCGAGAGAGATTTGCATAGCATTCCAACAAGCTGTAAGTAAATATGGAACTTCTGATGTTCACTCATCAAAATGTAATTCATTCATTATTTAATTCTTTCACATCAAAAAACATATCATAGCTTGTGTTTTCACCTCACATAGCTTGTTTTGAGAATATAGTGTAAAGTCCACGTTTCTATTTTTTTTAGCAAATAAATAATATTTTCTTAATGTATTTCAGGTTTGCGGCTTTGATCTCTTGCGTTCAGAGGGGCGTTCCTATGTTTGTGATGTTAATGGATGGAGCTTTGTTAAGAACTCTTACAAGTAACATTTTGTGTTTTGTTATTTTCTTCCTCCGATCATTTGATCTAAGACTCAAATTTCTATCTTATCATTTTTCTGCTTCTCTTACTACCTTAATTTCTTTCTTCACTCAATGTTGTTTATTACTTACTAAATGTAGATATTATGATGATGCTGCATGTGTTTTGAGGAAAATGTTTCTTGATGCAAAAGCACCACATCTTTCTTCGACAATTCCTCCAATTCTGCCGTGGAAAGTCAATGAACCAGTTCAACCGTCTGAAGGACTAACGCGTCAGGGAAGTGGGATAATTGGGACATTTGGACAATCTGAAGAGCTTCGTTGTGTAATTGCCATTATTCGTCAGTAAGAAAAGATATCACCTCTTATACTGTCTTTTATTTGTTATTACTTTTTTTAATAATTTTACATATTCTTTTCTTCTTTGATAAATCTTTTTTTGCTGGACAGTGGCGATAGAACTCCAAAACAGAAGGTGAAGTTGAAAGTTACTGAGGAAAAGCTTCTAAATCTAATGTTAAAATATAACGGGGGAAAGCCTAGAGCAGAGGTGCTTATTATTGCTGGATCTTATAGTCCTCATTTATTGATACTACTCTTCATCATGTAAAAGTAACCTTTAGTTTACCTTTTAACCTTTTTTCTTGACCTTCTGCAGACGAAGCTGAAAAGTGCCGTTCAATTGCAAGATCTTTTGGATGCAACACGGATTTTAGTACCTCGTATTAGGTATGTGTAAATTACATCTAATTTAATTCGCAGAACATTCTATTAACTAGTGATTCCGTCTATCATTTTCAGCCAATATTACTTACCACCAAGTTCATGTTCAGAGAAAAGCTTCCTGTGACATGATTTTTCTGTCTAGGTTGATTAATAACATATATTAAGGAACATTAAGATTTGTTAGAGCGTTATTTTTTATCTTATACTTCACTCTCATCAACTTCGATTGTACTTAATCTTGGTAAAGCTAATTATTTCCGACTCTAGAATTTTGTTCGAGATAAATTTTAATGCTTATGAAAATAATTTCGTCCAGACCTGGTCGAGAGAGTGACAGTGAAGCTGAAGATATTGAGCATGCTGAAAAGCTACGTCAAGTGAAAGCTGTGCTTGAGGAGGTCCGTTTAAAATTTAAATACATATATCTATATATTTTGAATTACAGATGAAATTACTCTCTTTTTCATTGTTTTGGTTGATGTATTGTACTTTTGAGTTACATATGGACCCACCTGTTTTTTTGGCCGTAACCTCGATCTTAAACTATTTAGTTTTTTTTATTGCCTTCCTCTTATAATGAAAAATAACTCCTGTATTGGTATTCCAGGGTGGGCATTTCTCTGGCATTTATAGGAAAGTCCAACTTAAGCCATTAAAGTGGGTCAAAGTTGCAAAAAGCAATGGTGAAGGGGAAGATGAAAAGCCGGTTGAGGCTCTAATGATTCTTAAATACGGTGGTGTTCTTACTCATGCTGGCAGAAACCAGGTTAAAAAAAAATCAGTATCATGCATGTGTACTATGTATTTTTGTTATTATAGCCATTATTTAAATATTGCTAGGGCCTAGGTGACACATTAACTTATGCTGCGTTCATAAAAATTTGTGGCAGGCTGAAGAACTGGGAAGATATTTTCGGAACAATATGTATCCAGGTTTGGTTTTCATGACTATCGTTATCTCTTCTTCCTTTATTTTTTTCCACCTGACGATTCAATTTTTTTTTACATTTGAAATTGGGTTAGCATGATTATTCGGTTTAGTGAAAGTGACAGCTGTTCGTCTCTACTTGCTACTGATGTCAGGTGAAGGTACTGGACTGCTTCGTCTCCATAGTACGTACCGTCATGACCTAAAGATATACAGTTCGGATGAAGGCCGTGTACAGGTTAGGCTTCCCCGTATATTTTTGCTGTCTTGTTAATTTATCATTTGCTCGCTTCATTTATTCATTTAATTACGACAGATGTCAGCAGCTGCTTTTGCTAAAGGTCTTCTAGACTTGGAGGGACAGTTAACGCCTATCTTGGTTGGTAACAGTAATATCTCTCATCGATGATTAAAAAAATAAATCCTTGTAATAAACTATTATATTTTTCTTAATATGTTTAAGGTTTCACTCGTAAGTAAGGACTCTTCCATGTTGGATGGACTTGAAAATGCCAGTTCTGAGATGGAAGAAGCTAAGGTATGCCTTCTAAGCTTGAATGTGAATGATATAGATGAACTCCATTTTACCTTGATTTTATTTTATTTTACATTGAACTTGGAAAATAATCCTTAAATCCCTAGAATTTTACTATGTTGTTTTCATTTTTTTTTTCAGGCAAGGCTAAATGAGATTATTACATCTGGAATAAAAAGTGTGAATAGCAATCCAGAAAAGCCTTGGATGGTAGATGGGGCTGGAGTTCATCCAAATGCCTCTGAGCTTCTACCCGAACTGGTAAAAGTGCTTTTCTTCGGATAAGTCCATAAGTTGCTACAACTTTCCACAAACTCTTAATCATTGTATTTCTACTCTTTTTTTTTTGTTCATCAAAATCACACTATTTAGGTGAAGTTAACAAAGAAGGTTACGGAACAAGTAAGACTTCTAGCAAAGGACGAAAGTGAGGAGCTTGCAGAGGCGAGCTCCACCGGTGTAATTCTACCTTATGATCAAGCTAAGGCACTTGGTAAGACAAATATAGACGTTGACCGAATTGCTGCAGGTTTACCCTGTGGTAGTGAGGGATTTCTTCTAATGTTCGCTCGATGGAGAAAACTTCAGAGAGATTTGTATAATGAACGCAAAGAGTAAGAGTCTTCTTTGTTATCTTTATTTTTTTTTTCTTTTTCTATATATTTTTTTTTTTGCATTTTCCGCAATAAATAAGATTGCTGATTTATACATAACTTTTAACTAATTGTATTGACACAATTGCAGGCGGTTCGATATAACACAAATTCCTGATGTTTATGACTCTTGCAAGTAAGAAAAATCTGCGGAAAAGTGTAATAGTTTAATTCTGTGTTCTTCTTGAGGTTTATTTTCGTACTGTTAGGACTAACGAATACGCTCATTTATTTCAAATCAGTATCGTCATTGTGTATTGAGACGACTTATACACACTTTTGGTTTTGATTAGTTTCTTTTTCTTTTTCTCCCCTGTCATTTGACAGATATGATCTCTTGCATAACGCACATTTGAATCTAGAAGGCTTGGATGAACTCTTCAAAGTAGCTCAGGTATGAATTAACCGATATATCAAGGGATTAGATGCTCAGAATTGTCGAAATTATGAGACTCTTTTTTCTTCAGTTACTTGCAGATGGTGTTATTCCAAATGAGTATGGGATCAATCCGAAGCAAAAGCTAAAAATTGGATCAAAGGTGGATATAAACAACATCATTTTTCCTTATAACGTAAAAAGGTCGCAAATTATATATCACTCGTATGAGTTTTTAATATTTTTTTATTTTCAAATTTTCAGATTGCTCGTCGTTTATTGGGTAAAATTTTGATTGATCTGAGAAATACACGTGAAGAAGCAATAAGTGTTGCAGAACTGAAGAGTGCACAGGATATAAATCCGTCTGTCCCTATCGGAGGAAGAGAAGAGATAGATCAACGTTTTAAGTCTCAGAGTAAGATGGATTTAGCTGGAAAAGGTAGTTTTACCAGTGAAAAGTCAATGGATCAAGAAGACGACGAAGACAAAGAAACTAAATACCGTTTGGACCCAAAGTAAGTCTTGGAATAGCATTTCCCTCATTTCACAAGAGATAATCATTTTTTTGAGTCAATCGAGACGTCGATTCATAAAATGTTGGAAAAAGAGATAATTTCTTTCCATTTATGTATTCTTACTTTTAATAGGTATGCGAATGTGAAAACACCAGAACGACACGTGCGGACACGGCTATACTTTACATCAGTGAGTAAAACAATGCTCTTACATTTGATTTAGGTTTTCTTTTCACTAATATATGCATTTATTTCCTCCAGTCTGTGACGATGATCTTATAATAGCTCTTAGAAACATTTCTTGAAAAATAAAAGGAAATTAAAAGAGTTATGCTTTTGCAATAAACCCAATCCAGGTTTATCGCATTCAACACCCGCGTGTTTACTCTACTTGTCAATAAACTCCCCGCCTTATTAATTTTAGCAGACAACCCCCTCAAACTCACTGTTTAAGGGGTTGTATGCTAAAAATGCATCATACTGTTTTTTTTTTTTGCAAATAGTACGGATAGTTTTAAAGCAATTTAATGTAACACGGTTACTAAATGCAAAAACTGAATCCTAACAGTTAACTAATAACACATAATACACAACTACGATGTATTTGTTTCATGTAGGAATCCCATATCCATTCGTTGATGAATGTTCTTCGTTATTGCAACCTGGACGAATCTCTTCAAGGAGAAGACAGCCTTGTATGTGATAGTGCTTTAGAGCGGTTGTGTAAGACAAAGGAGCTTGATTACATGAGTCAAATTGTACTTAGGCTATTCGAGAACACAGAGGTTTGTTTTAACCCCCCCTCTCTCTCTCTCTCTCGAAATATTCAATTTTCTATTTATTTTCTCTTTTCATATTCTAACTCCAAGAATGTATTTCTTCTTGTTGAACTGAATGCAAGGTGGCTTTGGAAGATCCGAAGAGATTCCGCATCGAGATGACTTTTAGTCGAGGCGCAGATTTATCCCCTTTGGAGGCAAGTATTTCCACCGGTTCTATTCCATTTTATATCCCTCTTTTCATAATCGAGACTAATTTGATTTTCCTTTTTTTTTTTCGTTTTTTTTTTGACAGGGTAATGATAGTGAGGCGGCTTCGTTTCACCAAGAGCATACATTGCCAATAATGGGCCCGGAGAGGCTGCAAGAAGTGGGGTCGTGTTTAACTTTGGAGATGATGGAGAAGATGATCCGACAGTTTGCAATGCCTGCTGAGGATTTTCCTCCACCGTCGATTCCTCAGGGATTCTCTGGCTACTTCTCCAAAAGTGCAGCTGTTTTAGAGCGCCTTGTCAATCTTTGGCCATTTAACAAGCACTGAAACGCGGCAACTAGTAAGATAATTTAATATTTTGCTAAATTAATAGAATTTTGTCAGTCTAAACTGTATTAATTTATAGAGGTTTACCTGTAAAAACATTTTAATAATTTAATTGAGTTTCGCGATAAGGTCAATCTCCATCAAATATTATGCTCTTTGGTAGCGACTGAACACGATTACACGAGTGGCACTCCGTTTTTGTTTAAAATTTTCCTTTTGAAATTCAATGTTGTTATTCCTTCAACCACATATTGAAATCAAAATATTCCACAAAGCAGAAAAATCGAATTAATTATGGTCCACCTTCTTTGACACTCCTTGAATGTTAGTTCCTTTCGAAAACTAACCCTCCTACATCAATCACCACAACAACAACAATTAATAACAACAACAACAATTAATAACGATCAACGAGCAAGAATTAGCATAATATGACTCGACCCATTCAAAAATTCACACAGGTGTCCTTAAACGATGTAATGACAAATATTTTTATGCCATACTACATAAAGTCAACAACAGTCATCACTACATACGAATCACACACTTACAGAACAAGAAGTCGAGACATTCTGTAAAAATGGAGGAAAAGAAATAAGGGAGAGAAAGAGAGAGAAATGAACATAAAATGAAGTCCGAAACCTAAGAGAGAAGAGCTGTCAATGGAGGAAAATAAACTAAGAGAGAAGAGCTGTCAATGGAGGAAAAGAAGAGGAAAAGAAATAAGGGAGAGAGAGAGAGAAAAAAGATCCGACTTAATGGTGAAGATTTGAGATTAAATTGACGTGACTAGACGAGATTTTGTTACAGGTTTATTAATGGAGGAAAAGAAGAGGAAAAGAAATAAGGGAGAGAGAGAGAGAGAAAAAAGATCCGACTTAATGGTGAAGATTTGAGATTAAATTGACGTGACTAGACGAGATTTTGTTACAGGTTTATTGTAATTATATAATTAGCCTCTAAATCGAATTAATTATGGTCCACCTTATTCCTACAATTTGCACCAACCACTAGGCAATTATGAAATGGTCTGCACGATGGTTTTGTATATGCTACACCCGAGGTTTATTAATGGAGGAAAAGAAGAGGAAAAGAAATAAGGGAGAGAGAGAGAGAAAAAAGATCCATTAGATTAAATTGACGTGACTAGACGAGATTGACTTAATGGTGAAGATTTGAGATTAAATCGAGTAGACGAGATTGACTTAATGGTGAAGATTTGAGATTAAATTGACGTGACTAGACGAGATTGACTTAATGGTGAAGATTTGAGATTAAATTGAGAGAAAAAAGATACTTCACAGATTTGAGACTAGACGAGATTTTGTTACAACCATAGATCTTTCCCATATTAAACCGATGTGGGGAGCTCGTCAAGCTACCTCCATTTGCGCACCGGGAGCTCATGATACCACTGTTGGGCCCCCACGACGAGATTTTGTTACAACCATAGATCTTTCCCATATTAAACCGATGTGGCGCACCGGGAGCTCATGATACCACTGTTGGGCCCCCACGACGAGATTTTGTTACAACCATAGATCTTTCCCATATTAAACCGATGTGGGGAGCTCGTCAAGCCACCTCCATTTGCGCACCGGGAGCTCATGATACCACTGTTGGGCCCCCACAGGGATAACACAAACTCCACATTGGTATGTGGTGTACAGACTGGGCCGGGTCCAACTGGTTTTGCTCTTGGGTTTCCCCTAAAGGCCTCATACCAATGGAGTTACTATCCCCTTCTTATAAACCATAGATCTTTCCCATATTAAACCGATGTGGGACATTGTTTGCACCTCAACACTAATGAAACGACGTAGTGTTGACACTTGTCAGTTGTCACTCTCTACTGCTCTACATGGTTTAGGAAAGATCCGTACGTCACTGCCTATTACTCAGAAAACAGCTGACAAGTCAAAGGACGAAAATGCCCAAAAGAGGACTCCAAATCAACCTATTTTTATTTTGTTTACTATTAAATTAATTATTTTTATAAATTAAAATTTTGAAGTTCAGATTATTACTATCTCATGACTTTATATATACCAAGTATATATTGCATATATAGTTTAAATATATAATAATGTTATTTCATTTATTTAACATATATTAATAAAGTAAATATAATATATATATTAAATCCAAATATTTTTGTCATCAAAAGTAGTAGGAAATTCCACACATTTGAAAACTTAGTCAACTGAGAATATTTCAACTTGTTAGTCATATTCCACTCCACGTGGATTACTTATTTTGACTAGTTGACTATATATGTATAATCATGCACAAGAATATTCTCACAAGTAGATTAAATTGCAAACTAAATAATTTCAAAAGTAAAACCATGTGTGTACGTTACTACATAGGATACTTTATCTGTTCGGGCTCGACTCGACTCCATTCGTTTAAACGAGTAATTGTGTATTCACTAAAATTAAATATTAAATATTTTGTAATAAGCAACATATGTTAGTAGTCTAGTAGTAGGTGACCAAGATTTCCTTATTCTAAGCAATACACGGCACTCTCATGTCTTAGTTATATGATTGTCGTGCCCTAACAATTGACCTAACATCAACTTGTAGTTTATGTATAACGAAAACTTCAATTTCTCAATATATTTATATTTCGTGTCCGGTATTCCGAGTGCACCCGTCAGATAGTTTATGGGTCATTTTGTAATTTCTAAAAAATTAAAAATATGATTGAACAATAAATTTTCAAATATTTGTGTTGCTTCCCTAATTATTTCTCCCAACAAATTATTTTCAAATGCAATCTTACAAAATTCATTTTACATCCCCAATACTATATAAAGAAGGCAAAAAAAATCCAAACCGCTTGTACGATTTATGAAAAAAAGAATAAAATTGTGTAGATTTTGTTATTTACAAGACTTTTTGTCCTTAGCAATAAATTAAAAAGTAGTTCCAAAAAAGCTGTACCTTTCCGTACACCATCTGATCCGCGCGCCATATTTTCTGTACCCACGCGCCTTCCCAGCGCGTGTGCGTGAATAAAAGAGCTTGCGAGTATATATTAGAAGGTGGAGAGACCTGCGTCACTTTCCATTCCAACTCCATCTCCGTCTCCGTTACTTGCTTCTACACTCTTCGTTAGGTTTTTTCTTTTTTTTTTGTTTTTTTTTTCCTTTTTCACCTTTTACGCACACACACATACACAGAAACATACATAGTACATACACACACAATATACATATGACTATGAACGCATACGCATATGTATATGTGTAAGTAAGTGTATGTGAATAATTTAACGGAGCTTCTTACTGTGTGTTGTGCGTGTTTTTTTTCGTAGAGATGGCGGCGAATGATGAAGCAATGGAGGCTCTCAAGAGAGAAGCAGTTGATTTGGTATGCGTTTTTTTATTTTGTACTCAATTTTGTATATTATTAGTATTTTTGGTTGGGGTTTGCTCTGTTGTTGAAGTTATGGTTGATTGTCGTTTCGTTTGCAGGAGAATATTCCGATCGAAGAGGTGTTTGATAATTTGAGGTGCACCAAAGAGGGGCTTTCGTCGGAGGATGCTATCAGGAGGCTCGAAATTTTCGGCTACAACAAGCTTGAGGAAAAGGAGGTGACATTTTTTTCGATCGATCTCTCCTTTTTCGTTTCAACTTTCAAGTATTATTTTCAGTTTTTTTTTTTTTTTTTTTTTTGGCTGGATAATTAATTTATTGTTTTTTTTTTTTTTTTTTTTTTGGTGTAAAATGAATGGACTATTTATAGGAGAGTAAGGTTTTGAAGTTCTTAGGGTTTATGTGGAATCCTCTGTCATGGGTGATGGAAGCTGCAGCAATTATGGCGATTGCTCTCGCGAATGGAGGAGTTAGTTATACTTGCCACTCTTGATTACAATATTTGTTTTTATTTTTCCCATCTTCTCCACTGCTGTAAGTATTTTATTTAGTTCTTGACTATGAATTTGTTTTGTGTTTTGAAGGGTAAACCACCAGATTGGCAGGATTTTGTCGGTATCATCACTCTTCTTGTGATAAACTCAACCATAAGTTTCATAGAGGAGAACAACGCCGGAAATGCCGCCGCTGCTCTCATGGCTCGGCTTGCACCCAAAGCAAAGGTGCAAGGCTCATTCTACTTACATAGCTATATTTTATTTTATTTTTTCAGCATTTTTTTTGAGCAATTTAGTATTGTTATTTTCAGGTTCTCCGTGATGGACACTGGAATGAGGAAGATGCCGCTGTTCTTGTTCCAGGTGACGTAGTCAGTATCAAATTGGGCGATATAATTCCTGCCGATGCTCGTCTTCTTGATGGTGATCCTTTAAAGATAGATCAGGTTCTCTTTTAGATTTAGTTTGGACAATTCACTTTTGTTTCTTTGTTAACTTATGCTTTTGAGCCTTGAATATTTCCCTATTTTCATTTGCAGTCTGCTCTAACTGGAGAATCCCTTCCAGCGACGAAAAGCCCAGGTGATGGTGTATACTCTGGTTCTACTGTCAAACAAGGGGAGATTGAAGCAGTAGTCATTGCAACAGGCGTACATACCTTCTTCGGCAAGGCTGCCCATCTAGTAGATTCCACTAATCAAGTCGGACATTTTCAGAAGGTCTGCCCACCATGAAAGTTTTTTTTGGAGATTTTAAGAATTCATTCATGTTAACTTTGACATCATTTTCTATGTTGGGAAAATCGCTTATGTTTCTATATAATCTGCTTTTGTTTGTCTGTTGAAGGTCTTGACGGCGATTGGAAATTTCTGCATCTGTTCTATTGCAGTGGGAATGGTTATCGAGATCATTGTAATGTACCCTATTCAACACCGTGATTATCGTCCGGGAATCGATAATCTGCTTGTGCTTCTTATTGGAGGAATTCCAATTGCAATGCCGACAGTATTGTCTGTGACAATGGCAATTGGTTCGCACCGTTTGTCCCAGCAGGTTTGAAGTTTTATTTGCCATTTAAGATCGAAACTGCTGCAATAAAATCTTCAGTTTAAAGTTTCTTTCTGTTCATACATTGTCTTGTTGAATTTCTCAGGGCGCCATCACTAAAAGAATGACAGCAATTGAAGAAATGGCCGGCATGGATGTGCTTTGCAGTGACAAAACCGGAACGTTGACCCTGAACAAACTAAGTGTTGACAAAAATCTTATTGAGGTTGATAAAAGATTAGTCTATTATTTGCAGGAAAACTTGAATTTGGATAAGCAATTGTGTCTTGACTCTTTGACGCTCGACATTTCGAAATGTAGGTCTTTTCTAAAGGAGTGGATGCAGATACTGTTGTCTTAATGGCTGCCCGAGCCTCCCGGATCGAAAACCAAGATGCCATCGATGCTGCAATAGTGGGGATGTTGGCGGACCCCAAGGAGGTATATGTTCTTCATAATACTTTGGATTCTTAATTAAGTGGCATTTTGTCTCTCTCAGTCTGTAATATCTTACATAATTTACTCTCCGTTTACTGCGTTAAATAAAAGGCAAGGGCTGGAATTCAAGAGATTCATTTCTTACCTTTCAACCCGACTGATAAGCGCACAGCTCTAACTTACTTAGACAATCAAGGTAAAATGCATCGAGTCAGCAAAGGTGCCCCTGAACAGGTGTGTCAAATTTCTGATAAATTATTTTTGTCGTATTGATAAGTAGTTATCTTGATTCAGACAATTATTTGGTGTGCAGATATTAAACCTTGCCTACAACAGATCTGAGATTGAGCGAAGAGTTCATTCTGTCATTGATAGCTTTGCTGAGCGTGGATTACGATCTCTTGCAGTAGCATACCAGGTTATGTGATTCTCTGGTTAATATTTAGTAATGTTGTAATTAATATAATGTATTGACGGCCTTTTTTTGTTTCTCCAGGAAGTTCCGGAAGGAACAAAGGAGAGTCCCGGAGGTCCATGGAGATTTGTAGGACTCATGCCTCTCTTTGATCCTCCTAGGCATGACAGTGCCGAGACTATAAGAAGGGCTCTCAATCTTGGCGTAAATGTTAAAATGATTACCGGTGAGTATTTTTCGGCCGATTTTCTTTTTTATTTTGGAAAACTACTTGTAATATTAATTTCAAAATATCTATTATATTTGATTTGTCAGGTGATCAACTAGCAATAGCAAAGGAAACAGGGCGTCGTTTGGGTATGGGGACCAACATGTATCCTTCATCTTCTCTATTAGGACATAACAAAGATGAGTCCATCGTTGCTTTGCCTGTTGACGAGTTGATTGAAAAGGCTGATGGCTTTGCCGGTGTTTTTCCTGGTATGATTAAATTTAGTATTTATTTTTTATGCGTATACTATATATTTAAGTTAGCATATATATATATTTTAAATTTTACTTTCTCATTTCCAGAGCACAAGTATGAAATTGTCAAGCGGTTACAAGCTCAGAAACATATATGTGGGATGACCGGAGATGGGGTGAACGATGCACCTGCTCTGAAGAAGGCTGATATAGGAATAGCTGTTGCAGATGCTACTGATGCTGCTCGAAGTGCATCTGACATTGTACTTACCGAACCTGGTCTAAGTGTAATCATCAGTGCTGTTCTAACTAGTCGAGCAATTTTTCAGAGGATGAAAAATTACACTGTAAGTCCTCATTAGTCAACCTTACTAAGTTTAAGGTTGTTCTTTCCGTTGAAATATTGTCAGTGTACTGATTAGTTTCTGAATATGCAGATATATGCTGTTTCCATCACGATACGTATTGTGGTAAGCTTCAAAAAACAGTTTATTCAATACATTTTATCTTCATTTCGCTTTTTTGGCCACTGATCATAGTGTAATGTTCCGTGTTTGCAGCTTGGTTTCATGTTGCTTGCACTCATATGGAAGTTCGACTTCCCACCGTTTATGGTTCTGATAATTGCCATTCTAAATGATGGTAATTTATTTAAATAACTGGTTGAGCGCACTTAGAAGGATTGGGCCGTTGAAATTCTGACACTTGGCGCTTGCAGGTACCATCATGACAATATCAAAGGACAGGGTGAAACCATCTCCTTTACCAGACAGCTGGAAGCTAGCTGAGATTTTCGCCACAGGCGTTGTTCTTGGAGGCTACTTAGCAATGATGACAGTCATTTTCTTCTGGGCAGTATACGATACTGATTTCTTCCCGGTAAGTAATTCTAATGCAATCTTTTCTTACATCATATACATGTGAAGAACAGTTTTAGTAACTGCTTTTCGTTCACCTTCTCTCCTAATGCAGAGAGTTTTTGGAGTTAAGTCCCTCGAGAGAACAGTAAACCTAAACTTCAAAATGCTCGCCTCTGCAATATACTTGCAAGTGAGTATAATATCTCAGGCTCTCATATTTGTGACAAGGTCTAGAAGTTGGTCCTTTATCGAACGTCCAGGACTTCTACTAGTTGGTGCTTTCCTTGTTGCTCAGCTTGTAAGAAAACTGCACCCGTTGTACGATTCTTTACATGAAGAGTACCAACTACTTTGTTCTTACATCAATCAACACTTGTATTTTGTTGGCAGATTGCTACACTAATTGCAGTATACGCAAACTGGAATTTTGCTGCAATAGAAGGCATAGGGTGGGGTTGGGCGGGGGTTATATGGCTATATAACATCGTATTCTACTTCCCACTTGATATGATCAAATTCTTCATCAGATATGCATTGAGTGGAAAGGCTTGGGATCTCGTTATTGAGCAAAGGGTATGAAAACTACATATTAGTTTGCAAACGTAGTACTTGTGAGGCTTTTCGTTTGATCCTCTTTTTTATTTTGCAGATTGCTTTTACGAGAAAAAAAGATTTCGGTAAGGAAGATCGTGAACTGAAGTGGGCACAGGCACAAAGGACCCTCCATGGGCTTCATCCACCTGAGAAGCAATCTGGTGACCGAACTAATTACAATGAGCTTAATCAGATAGCTGAAGAGGCAAAAAGACGAGCAGAAATGGCAAGGTAGAAAATGAATTCGATTTTTACGATTAGAAAAAACGACGATGATTTACTTTTTGTTACTATTTTCTTGAAGGTTTATTTATTTATTTTGGCAATGATGTTGTAGGCTGAGAGAATTGCACACTCTGAAAGGGCACGTTGAATCTGTTATAAAGATGAAGAATCTTGACATAGACACGATTCAACAATCGTACACGGTTTGAGTTTGGAGAATTAAGGTTGCCTCTATGTAAAGAAATCAGAATTTTGGAATGTAAAGAAACCGAGTGGCTCTATGTATGATGAACAATGTCCACTTTTAATACGGCAAAATGCCATAGGTGTAGTGTTGTATCAGACGGTGAACATTTGATGCTACTTTCTCTGTTTTTGTTTGCTTTGCTGCTTGTAATTATAATCTGTTAATATGATATATATGTAACAATGAAGACTTTTATATTGCACTTAGATGAAGAAAAAAAATTAGAATCCATTCACCTGATATGGGATTGTTAACTGAGTTAATCTAATAAGATGAATTTATTTTTGTAAATTAAAAAAAAAATTAAAATGAAATACATTTAGACTGTGAAAGGTTAAGTAACATATGTGTACTTTTAACACATTAGTCAAAGTTTAACACAAAGGGGATGTAGCTCAGATGGTAGAGCGCTCGCTTAGCATGCGAGAGGTACGGGGATCGATACCCCGCATCTCCATTTTTTAGTTTTTTTTCGTCTGAAAAATCAATGGGCCTGACCAGTACTACTGTGCGAGCCCAACTATGCAGATCCTTATTAATCCCATTAAACATCATAGTGGGCCTATATTTGGGCCAATGAAAATTTATTGGGCCCAACTTAGAGCAAAATTATTCTCCTGGTTTTGCATTTTATAATTTTTTTTTTGACTAAGTTAATAGAGAGGCAACATTTTATTACCAGAGTCAGGTGGGTCTGCAGATTAAAATATCATAGCTTTTATGAGACAAATGGCCAAGTTCAAAACATCTAAAGAAATTTATCTCATTTAAGGTTTATCTACTTCATACGAAAACTGCAGACAAGTGGAACTCAACAAGAATCACAGTGACAGTCGTGCAGTAAAGTTCGGATTTTGCGATTATTTCTCCTATGTTACACCGTCACCTATGCAAGCAAAAGAAAACAAGAAGCAAAAACACACGTCACCTTTCATTCAGTAACTGAACGAAGTTGATATAAAAAAGCATCCAACAGAACTCACTCTCCCAGACTCGTAACGATACATTAGTGTTTACAAGAGTTGCAGTTGTATGACAGGAAGAAACATATCAAAAATTTAAAGATCGAATATATCATGCAACTGAATCTGCAATCCACTTTGGCTTCTGAGATGGATTGCTTCGGTAATAAATATAAACCCCTTTTCAACTGATTACTCATGAAATTTTCCTAGATAGATTCTTCAGTCCACAGCCAACACATTTAAGAATGACCGTCTCTGTCGAAGGATCTGGCTTTATAACAAACTTAACACCAAGAAAATCTCTTATATGCCTTAGAACTCCTATTCCATAAGGTGAAAGCTTACCAACACGAACCTTTGAAACATCTTGAGGACACAATGCGCAGAGAAGAAACAACAATCCCTGCAAAATATAAATCAATCATTACGCAAATACACACAAATCATTACGCAGAACATATTCCATTTAATTTGGACTGCAGATACCGACATATAAAGTATCTTTAGAATGTTATATGATAATAAAATACCGAGCCTAGCAAATCGATAGTCCAATACGCTTTACAATTGCAATCAAAGTTTAATGATTTTGACAGAGAATGGTAAGCCTTTGTTAAACAAACCTGATGAGTTGAATCTACGACGCCGCCTTGTTCAATCTCAGCCAGCAGAATGTTTGCAATTTTTATGCCGACATCTTCAGGTGGGCTCAATTCTTGCTTCTCCTCCTCAAGTTCGCCCTCTTCTTTCCCCTGAGCATAAGAAACTGATGTATCAGCAGAGATGTAGCAACCTGATGTGGTCTCGGCCACAAGTGAAATTCCATAACCGGGTGAGCTGCAGATAGAGCCAACAAAATAAATACGCGATTAGCATTGTGATTAAGCAGCTAAACATAATTTATCTCCATTTTACTACATTCAATGCATACTTTCCAGCTTGCTGCCCGGCTTTGTGGTCAGTGAATATGTGAACATCGGGAAGAAAACTGTTAAAGATGCCACGAGCTGCATGGATCATGATATTCTCAAACTGAACAGACACTTTAGTCGAGAAGGTGTGACCTCTAATCCTCTTCACCATGCCCTCATCAATCCAGGTTATTGCCTGGATAACATTTAAAAAAAAATTAGAGTGAGACTTTGTTCAAGAGAGAGAGAGGTAGTAAACAATTAAAACAAAGCATGAAAACAGTTTACTTTTAAACTATCTTGGATGATCGGTACAGATAGAACGACTTCTCCACCACCAAGAGGAGGTACACCTCGGCTCTCGATTTTCAGTTCCAGTCCTTCTGAAGGCACTCCAAACTGCTTCAACATGGGCAAGGTAGTAGATCGAAAAGTATCAACACAGGGGTCCTTGGAATCATTTGTAATACCTAAGAGAGCAGGAAAGTCCTTAATTACGAGTCTCTCAAACATAATACGAGTACCATATGTTCATCAAATAAAACAATTCAGGTAAACGAAGCATCATCCACAACTATAAAAATAAAAGAGCCCAGACGAACTAAAATTGACCCAAACCAAACTCAAGTAGATTATATTAAGTTATATAGCTTATTTCTTGAGTTTTCCACTTAGCAAATTGGTCACAGCTCAAGTGTAGGTGCTCGGAAGACTAATTGAAACATTCAGAGGTGAAAACAACCGTAAATTAAATATACAGAACATCAATATTCCGGCAAGAATTAGGATATCAATTTCAACTAAATAATTAAGGATTTTGTTTATTTTAGCGAAAATACCTTTGAGCCTGATAGTGAGGGGCTTCTTAGCAAACAAACCTAGCAAAATCAGAGGCTCCAAAAAATAACCAATTGATCGGGTGGTGCCGCAGTCATGAACTAAATGCCTCCCGCCCATCACAATCCCCGGCTTGTACTTGAGACTTGTGCCTGGCCAACAAAAAATTGAAAACTCACAAAAAATCCGAACCAAGCATTGAACAACATAACATTTTCTACTTACCGGTCTCGTTGATTTCGACACGGCAGTCGTCGGAGATTTTTTCCAGGAGACGGAGGAACGAAACCTCGTAGGGTCGGAGGCCGGGCCACGTGGCTTCGGCGCGTATGTCCTCAATGATGATTGGTGTTGTTGACAGCGTCGAGAGAAGCAGCCGTAGCCTCAAGTTCTGGCTTCCTTTCAGCCTCATATACTGAATTTTCCCCATTCTCCGATTCTGAGTTTACTTTGCAGGTTCTAGGGTTTCCCGATTAACGATGAAGAATATCTAGCAATTCGGAGATTGACGCGCCGCCTTGGTCGATATAAAGAAGAAGAAAAGGAGTGACCAAAAGCGGAGGGTTTTTGCTTTCAAGTTTAAACCCCCCTTGTTCACTATGTATTTACTATTTTGCCTTTTCTTTTTTCTTTTTTCTTTTTTCTTTTTGGCTTTTACAACATTATTTTGGAGAAATTAAAGTTTTCACCCCTCAAGTTTGCACTAATTTCACATTTGGTCCTCTATGTACACAAAAATACATTTAGTTATTCGTGTTTCAATAATTTAACACTTTCGATCATTTTCATCAGTTTACCTTTAGTTCGTCAGTTAAGACAATGACGGGCACTAATTTGCTTCCACTAGAACGAATGGAAAATCGACGAAGAACCTTCGAAGTTTCTTCAGACGAATAACACAACATCCAAAAATCGAACAAACATGTAAAACTGTAAAGTTTAGACTTCAAAGAAATGAGATACCCCTTGATTAAAGATAATAAGAGGGTCAAAAAACGAACATGTCCAAACAAGTGATAAAACGACAGAAAAATAACTAGGAATAGTTCGAGCAACAACCTAGATTATTTCTATAAGAACCAAAATCAGCCGCCAAAAGAACCAGCTCCAACCATATCACAGTATATAAACCATTCACAAAACAAACGATTTGAAAAAAAAAAACGACTCATGGCTTGAGAGCCAAAGCCAACCCAAACTTGGCACTCTTGTCAACAGACTTGGTGTCCACCTCAGACGAAACAGTGACGAGTGACTTTGGGCGCCACTCATGCTGGATAAGCGCGCTAGCCTTTCCAAAGTTGTTCAATCGTGCCTTCACAGTGGTCAGCGAGTCCAACGAATGCTGAGTTCCTACAGTTATGGTGTTCTCGTTGCTTGAGAAGCTATGGGTCACCTCTGCACCAACTGCAGTGTTTGTCACTGGAGTCACTGTGTGGTAGTACGATGCGCTCAAGCTATCACCCTTGTCATTCCTAAACCAAAAGAAAACAGTTCAAAAATCCATGGACCATAAAAAAAGGCATAAAAAAACACAGAGAGAGAGAGAGAGAGAGAGAGAGAGAGAGAGAACCACTAACAGAGTCAAAGAAGCAATAAGATCAGCATTTGTGAAACTTGCTCCGAAGTTGCATTTGGTTAAAGCTCCTTCCTTAGTGTCGTAAGACACATCACTACCCACAGAAAATAGATTGTTTCCCACAACACCGGAGAAGTTCACAATGGGGTTAGCAGTCAACCCAACGCTTGAGCTTATCCCAGCATAATCATGCAAGTATTGAAGTTCCAACTACAATAGTCGTTAATGAAAACAAAAATATTAGATCGGAGGGCTTTAAAAGTATTATACTAAAGAGGCAGGAATTTTCTTACCTTCCCAGATCTTTGATCGGGAACTTTGAAGCTTATGATCGTCTTCAGTCCAGGAGCTGGTTCATCAATTGTGACGGTGGTGAAAAGCTGACATAGGATTTGGCTCCATAATCATTATATATTTGAAAGAAAGATACTACAGAACACCATAAACCAGAAAAGTTGCTCCAATCTAAATACATAATCAATGAGAATAAATGCATAGAACATACATTGGAACCCGTATCCACTTTAAAGTCAGTGGTGACATTCTTATGCTTCAACTGAGTATTGATATCAGCCAAAAACAGGTCACCTTTCTTTGTTCCTGTTGAAGTGAGTGTCTGCAACAAAAGGAGAGAATTAATATACATACGGATATAGCAAGTAAATTCAAGAATCCAAGAGAAACATATATAAAGGCACGCATGCTCACATAAGGTAACAAGAACCATGAATTTTCGTACTGGTTAAAAATACTGCCTAGTTCAATTGTGCATGAGTTGCCGACGAATTTTTGTTTTCAATATACTAATTTTGTGGGAATGAGCATGAATTGAAGAACTTCTATCAAATACAAAAATGAGATGAAATAGAAATAATTATTCATGAACATCAATTTTAATTATTCTCGGAAAATTTCCATCTCATTCTTAGAACCAAGACACATGTTAGTACTCTTCTCACCAAAATCAAGGATCCAACATAAATATCATTAGATGCAGCTACATCATCAAATCTAAGCTACATGATCTATTATTTCACATTAGAGGTTTTATCTTGAGATTGCACTAGAAGCTACACAAATTAAGACACTGAACTAACATATACATAAGAACCATTTTAATAAATGTGAGCCAGCCGATATATCAATGAAAAGGAAGGCACACTAAATGAAAAGCAACTTAATAAACGATAAGATGACTTAGCAACTCAACGAACGGAACAATCGCAACAGAAGATCAAAATACTCGTCACTATATCAGCACCACAATTGAATGTAATATAATACAGATAATCAAACATTCGAACACAATAAATGCAAAATTAACTATAGAAGGTACAAAATCCAGATTTATCGTATACCACAATATGTGCCAACAAATCAATCGAGAGAAAACACAGTTACAAATAACACAGGAAAATTAGAACAATTTCCATGCTTCCTCAATACCGTAAAATAAACCGATTGATGTACATGCATATTCAGCTCAAAAAATAATAAAAAAATCATAAAATTTCCAAACTATAAACCAGAAAAACAACAATGGATAGGGGGGGAAATCAGATCCGTGAAAAACACCACAAAATATACTTACAACTCCAGTCGGTGAGCAGGTTGTGAGTGTGAACTTCTGGTCGCTCTGGTAATCCCTGTTAAGAAGATCTGAAAAAACACGAAAAATAAAAATAAATTAAACAAAAAAGCATACGAAAAAAATGTAAATTGTATCGGAAATTTAAATAACAAAAAAAAAATGAAAAATGAAAAATGAAAGAAGAACCTCGAGCTCTTTTGCCGATATCGGAGTAGAGACCTGGACCCTTGCCCATGATTTCTTAGCTTAAAACTGCGAAAATGAATTTGAGAGAGAGAAAATTCAGAAGGAGAGAGAAAGCAGAGTGATAATATATTCGTATTATTTTTTTTATTTTATTTTTTCGGAGTAGCAACGTGATATAAAGAGTGGGAAAAGCCCTAATTATTTAAAGGGCCGTGTTTTCCAGAGAATCTGATCCGTTGATGTGGTGGGGTTCGGGCAGCGGTTGCTTATAGACCGTCGATATTTATTTCTTGGAGAACGGAACAGTTGTTTTGAGGGGTAGTTTGGGAATAAACCGACACGTGTCGGTGGTACTACCGAGCTTTGTTTCTTGATGGCTACACTTTTACTGGAGTTTCTTTGGTAACTAGCAAATGCAATTCAGGTCACTCACAAGTGATTTGTTCTTCAAGAAATTGGATTCTTTTTTTCGTAATTCAGTGATTTCATTTGAGTCAGAAATTGGGGGAATAATTTAAATTTTAAATTAAAATTAAAAATAATAAAATGGGCCCGATCATAGAGCTTTCCTTTCTGGACGTGCAACTACTTTCTCCAATTAGCTTGCATGTCAATGGGCTTATTATAGTGAAAATCATCTGTTTATTTATTATTATTATCTATATATAATATAAAAAGAGGATCTATGCCCTCAATGATTGACATGTGGCAAATGATGATGTCATTTATCAAAATTGCTTAGTTGGAGTTCAATTGATGAGGTGGATTCTTCAATTGGTGAGTTGTCAATTTTATTTTGGTATGTATTTAAGTTATTTCCTATTTAACATTTATACAATCATTTAAACAATTACCACATGTATATAAATTATTTCCAAAGTTAATATTTTATAAATTCGAAATTAAAAATATCTTATCTATATTTTCAGTATTTCAAAATACATTTATTGAAAAAATTCATGATACTCAATTTTTTTACGAATATTCAAATAATTTGAAGAAAAAAATATTTTTTTAATATTAAAATATTAAAAGAAAGGAATACAATTTTTTTTTGAATTTTCAATATTTTGGAATATTTGAATATCCATTCAATAAAAAAAATTGGGATGTCTGTATAAATTGAATATATTAATAAATTAATATATATTTCATAATTTTTTTCATTTGAATATATAAATATTTTATATATATATATATATATATATATATATATATATATATATATATATATATATATATATATATATATATATATATATATATATATATATATTTCTAATTTCAATTAATATATTAATTAATAATTCAAATCAATATATTAATAAATTAATTTATCAATATACATGGAAATAAATTAATTTGGATTTATTTTATTTCCTTTTGTAAATATAGTATATTTATGGACTTGGATGTTTAAAATTTTAAATTTAATTAATTTTTTGTTTAATATATTATGAAATTTATATTTTTATTACTATAATACGGAAAAGGAAAAAAGATAAAAAAAAATAGTGTGTAAACATTTCATATATTTTGATTTTTATTAAAATTCGGATATGCATTTATTATCTAAATCATTTATATATACATATCTATATATACATATATATCATCAATATCATATCTATTATATATCGATAACTTATGGAAATAATATCACCATAATTAATTTTAATTTATGTAAAGTTTGACTTTCAATTATTAATTATTAATAAGTTATTTGAATTTGCATCAAATAAAATCAATCACCGGATTTGTTGTCAATCATGTCTATTTTTTATTTCATTCATCTCTCTCTTTATCTACATATTTTTTTTATAATCATGTTAAACTACGGTCCTTATCTAAAAGTGG